ATAGGAGGAGAAGTGATTTATACATAGGAGGAGAAGTGATTTATACATAGGAGAAGTGATTTATACATAGGAGGAGTGATTTGACTTATATAAACAGGGAACTTATTACAAAGTAAGAAAAAAGTGGATTAACTGATCATGAGGTGATGGGTACCAGGTACTTACTTTCTAGTGAGAATTGATTTGACAGAGGTGAAGGATAAAGAGAGATGAGTGTGTTGTCGCTGTATTTTCTTTGCAGACCAAGGCAAATGTACACTGGCTTTTTAACACCACCACTGAATATGGAAATTATCATAATTATATAGCATTGTTTATTTCATTTCATCTTTCATTGTTTATATTTTGTTTATTACTTGTAATTTCACCATTTATTACCTTTTTTTCATGCTTTTGTTTCTTTTTCACTGCAGTGCCATGGAAATAAAATGTTTTCTCTTTTCTTTTCGTTTGTTCCAAAAGTGATTTTGCTTTAAGAAATTATGCGCTATTTTGACAGGAGTATATGCCACTACTTATCGAGACAAAAGGAAGCTTAAACGTTTCGGATGCACAGTGGCGTTTAAATAGTGACCCGAGGGTAACTAGCCTCTGTGTGACGTTTGTTTGTAGTGGTGGGAGGGTATAACCCCTTTTAGTCCACGGAATGCCCCAGCTCGAGTGCCCATTAACGATTAACACTAATGATCCAGATACCTATCTGTATAAATAGGTAGTGCCAACTAGACTAGAATAGATGTTTTAATTTTGTTTGTCTTTCCAAAAAGAATGCTAGTTTTGAGGTGTTTTTTTTTATAAAGACTGATAAATTTTGAATGTTCCATATTCTTCTTGGTTTGATACGGATAAAAATAATTCTTGTTTAATTCTTTTATAAATTTCAGGTTGTCTATTACCATAAGTATTTTTTAACAGACTGATTATAATATGTCATTAGTCTATATTTCAAGGTTGCTATGAAAAGAAATAAGATTTTGTTGGTATTCTTTCTGTAACATAGTGAAAAATAATACAGTTAAACATGAGTGGTGGTTATGATTTATTTTGAACCATATCAAATCTAACTTTATGAAACAAGTTGTCCTGCAACAAATGCTTTTGGTTATCTCCTCTTTTGAAGCTTTCATTGATTGGTTAACATGGATGAGTTCAGAATGCACCTTGTTTTAGTCCCACACTGAATTTGCACTAAACTCCTTGTCTGTTTTAGTTTGACTTTTCTCTAGATTTTGGGCGGTGGGCTGTGTTGACCAGTTATACACTGTGACAACAGTTAACAAGATGATTATAACTGACTGTGATTAACCCTTTCACCACTGTAGACCATAATGGACTAATCTAGATCAATGTATGGTAGAGTCTACCAAAGTTACCTAGGGGTGAAAGGGTTAACTTCTACCTATTTTTACTACTGCCGATTTTTCCTTCTCTAAAAGACTAAAACTTTGAAGCCATTTCATACCAGAGAGATGCCTATTCTCACCAGGTTAAGATCCAAGTGACATGTGTTCACCTGTTTACAAGCCCAAAGATCATTGTAGTATAAATGTATTCATCTGTTAACGTTCAAGGTTGTATTGTTACATCAGAGTATTCATCTGTCACCATTCAAGGTTGTATTATTACATCAGAGTGTTCATATGTTACATTAGAGTGTTCATATGTCACCATTCAAGGTTGTATTATTACATCAGAGTGTTCATATGTCACTGTTCAAGGTTGTTTTGTTGCATCAGAGTGTTCATGTCACTGTTCAAAGTTGTATTATTACATCTAAGTGTTCATATGTTACATCAGTGTTCATCTGTCACCATTCAAGGTTGTATTATTACATCAGAGTGTTCATATGTTACATCCGTGTGTTCATATGTCACTGTTCAAGGTTGTATTATTACATCATAGTGTTCATATGTCACTGTTCAAGGGTGTATGGTTACATCAGAGTGTTCATCTGTCACTGTTCAAGGTTGTATGGTTACATCAGTGTGTTCATATGTCACTGTTCAAGGTAGTATTATTACATCAGAGTGTTCATATGTCACTGTTCAAGGTTGTTTTGTTGCATCAGAGTGTTCATGTCACTGTTCAAGGTTGTATGGTTACATCAGAGTGTTCATATGTCACTGTCCAATGTTGTACTGTTACATCAGAGTGTTCATCTGTCACCGTTCAAGGTTGTATTGTTGCATCCGTGTGTTCATATGTCACTGTTTAATATTGTAATTGTTACATCAGAGTGTTCATCTGTCACTGTTCAGGGTTGTATTGTTACATCAGAAACTTCATCTATTGTTGTTCAAGGGTTGTACTGTTAGAGTGTTCATCTGTCAATGTATAGGGTTATATTGTTACATGTGTTTCTGTTCTGGGTTGTATTGTTTTATCAGTGTTCATCTCTTTCTGTTTAAGATTCTATTGCTACATCAGAGTGTTCATCTGTCACTGTTTAAGATTGTATTGTTACATCAGAGTGTTCATCTGTCACTGTTCAGGGTTGTATTGTTACATCAGAAACTTCATCTATTGTTGTTCAAGGGTTGTACTGTTAGAGTGTTCATCTGTCAATGTATAGGGTTATATTGTTACATGTGTTTCTGTTCTGGGTTGTATTGTTTTATCAGTGTTCATCTCTTTCTGTTTAAGATTCTATTGCTACATCAGAGTGTTCATCTGTCACTGTTCAGGGTTGTATTGTTATATCAGAGAGTTTATCTTTAATTGTACATCTCCTGTTAGATTTATTGCCGACTCTGATCATACCCTCAGTAGAAACTCTTATTTTCAGTTGACAATTACATGGAGTTCTTAATGTTCAGAATGTTTTTGTTTTAAGTTATTTTCTTCACAGCATGTCACTGGACCATTTTATGACAACTCCTAGTTTTTCCTTGTACAAGTATATATTATTACCTACATTTTTATTTTATTTTTTCGTTACTAACTTTGTTTAAAGGAGTATGTGCCGGTTCTGAGTCGCCCGCAAGCTTTGCAGAACAAAAAACTCTTCAAATTTGGAAATATCTATCAAGACAGACTGGTATAGTTAATATAGTCGAGTGAGCGTACCATCTGTATACAGTGTTTTCTTCAGGGGGGACATCAGGGGTGTAACAGGGCCATTTACTGCCCCGGAAGTGTCCCTACTCAGCATTCAGTGTTTTCTCCAGAGCAATCCAACAAGTACTTCATTTAAAACAGCCACGAGTAAGGAGCATATTCATATAGGTAACTTACAAAGAGTTGATCATAGAATTGTCCTTAGCTAGCTTACAGATAGTCTATCATAGTATATACATATATAATGTATTATCACAAACATCAGAATGCAATTGATCATTGTTATGCATATCGCGTCATGTAACAACACCTGTTGTCATGGTAACATAATGTAACACAGACAATCCACATGACACTTGCAATGCCTGTTTTTGGTAAATGGTCACCCAGAAATTAAATCTCATACTGGTTTATGGTGCACTATGGAATGAACAAATGGAATTACAAGTAACATAAATAATTAAAGAAGCAGATCTCCTTAAGAGAAGTTAAGTGTCTTTTTCCAGTAGTACTAGATAAATTTTATGCTCCACACTGTAAAAATTAGCCTTGTATTCCTAAATTGGATGAACCCAGTGTAGACAATATTAAATTTTCTGTTTTGTAAAAGAGAAAACTGCAGAAAACACTGAGTATAAGTGTCTATATACCTTGTTGTCTGTGGAGATGTGTCACCTTAGTTCACTAGTAGTGCTCAAATTGTTTCCTGTCGTCTTGATTTTCAGTCTGTCTTTATTGTTTGGTTGATGTCATCATTTGGTGTAATATTGATGTGAACAGTCCATATGTCATACAGATTTGATTTCAAATTTGTTTTTTTTAAACAAAATTTTCAGTTTCAGATTCACTGATTGACAAAAAAGAGTGTTTTCCCTATTTCCCTTTACTGCCAGTTTGTGGGATAGTTTGATGAATGTTCCCCCATCATATCCTTGGTTTAGTTTTTGTTGCTCCCTTCTCTCAATCCTCCATAATTGCTTAAAACTGAGATTATTTTGTGATTCAGTTAGCATTTTAATAATATAACTCTGAAGTTTCAGAATGAATAATACATTATAATATAACAGTAGGTTATTTTCTACAATTATTATACAGTTGTATATATTGCATAGTTTAGTGTATTTTTTTTTATTAAAAAAACAGATTATTGATAGGCAATACCTGTAGTATACATAATTTAATTACTTTGCTATTTTCCACTAATTATTTCAAATAACTGCAATTGACTTAACATATTTACAACTTTCTGTTTGCATGCATTTATCATTATTGTTGTATATTGTATGTTAATGCATGATACACTAAAGATCTTCTGGAGTTGTATGCGATTTCTTTCACTGAGGTTCAACATAGCGAAATTATATAATGAAAGTGTAAAAGAGAGTGAGCTAATTTTCTTGAAAATACGATTTTCAAAACATATTGTCTCCTTTCATTTTCTTTATGTTAATTATAGACTCAGCAATTATCTGTCAATAATTACAAAGATCGTTTGTTTCTAAATTATGATGGTGTGACAATATTGCTCTCAAAAGATATTTACAAATTGTACTCAACTTTTAGAATCAACTAACAACTAATTATCTAACACAAGATAATAATAATTTGATACATGAAATCAAATTTAGAATTTCTCATGATATAATGTTAAATATTTATTGATACATGGAATACATTACAATTGATAATCTGCTTTCTTGATTGATTTATTAATAATTACTGGTTGTTATAATTTCAGTGAATTGGATATATTTCGGTTTTGTTGTGATAAAACATGTGTACTGTACTGATAAAAGTTACATGGTTTCTTTAAAAAGAAAATTTATTTCAAATTATAAAGAATGAAAAAATAACTTGATGAGGTTTGAATTACTACTGAATGTAATATGACATGTGGTGACATTGTGTTGACACCCTGTGTGACCTGTTTTTGACCGTTGTAGGGACTAGGTATGATGACCACTGTGACGCTTCCTGTATATAATCGTACAATTGGCGCAGTAAGTTGGACATGGAGTATATAATCTATGATCACCATATTGGTGTTGTCAGTTAGAGTCGGAGCACATAATAGGTTTTTTTGCCTTCCATAAGATGTAAAATGATCACCGTGTAGATGAGCTACATTTGGAGATCTTTAATGAAATCAGTCATATTCTTAACCAAAATTTTCAAAGATGTGGAAATCATGAGAGGAAATTTAAAATCAGTCCTATTTGTAAGGAAAAATTGTTAAGATGTGGAAAAAATCAGGGAAAAATTTAAGATAAGATTTGTAATATTACAACCGAGTGTTTTATGCTGATATATATTAAACTTGTGCGTTAGTGGTTTACCTTACAGTGGGATGTTAACTTGTTTTGTTTATGTTCCAGTCTAACCAGACGATCCTAGGAGTGATGGGTATAGATGTGACTACAGCACAGATGGAGCAGTTCTCTCCATCTTGGAAGGTAGTTATCTCCCCTATCTAATACTCCCAAGTCTGGAAGGTAGTTATCTCCCCTATCTAATACTCCCAAGCCTGGAAGGTAGTTATCTCCCCTTATCTAATACATGTACTCCTAAGCCTGGAAGGTAGTTATCTACCCTATCTAATACTCCCAAGCCTGGAAGGTAGTTATCTCTCCTAATCTAATACTTCCATTCCTGGAATGTGGCTTACTTCTCCCGATCTGATACTTTCCAGTCTACAAAGTATTCAACTCCCCTTATCTAATAACTCCCCAGCCTGGAAGGTAGTTATCTCCCCTTACCTAATACTTCTTAGCCAGGAATGTGGTTACCTCCCTTATCTGATACTCTCCAATCAAACAAGGAGGTATCTCCCCTCACCAAATACTCCTTAGCCTGGAATGTGGTTACCTCTCTCATCTGATACTCTCCATTCAAACAAGGAGGTATCCTCCCTTACCTAATACTCCCCAGCCTGGAAGGTAGTTATCTCCCCTTATCTAATATTCCTTAGCCTGGAATGTGGTTACCTCTCTCATCTGATACTCTCCATTCAAACAAGGAGGTATCTCCCCTTACCTAATACTCCCCAGCCTGGAAGGTAGTTATCTCCCCTTATCTAATACTCCTTAGCCTGGAATTTGGTTACCCCCGTTATCTGATACTTTCCAATCAAACAAGGTAGTTATCTCCCCTTCTCTGATTATCTGAATATTTGAAATACTTATGAGAACATGATTTTTTTTTAATTTGTATGAATAAATAAAAGTTTCAATCAGCATGCTTTGTGTATGCTAAAAAATATCATCATCTTTTGTCTAAGCACACTTTTTTGTTTGTTTTGTAGCTTGGTCCAAATGGATACACCTTTGCCATCAATACCAATGGCTATGTGATATTTCACCCCCTCCTCAAGATCAATGTGAGTAGGACTGTTTTGGATTCATTTGTGTGAAAGAACTTTTGTTTTGTATTTATTTTAACTATCTTTGATAAAAGTATTGATTTCAGGGTTTTATAAGATCATTATGATGAACACAAAAAAGGATATGATAGTCAATTGACCTGACATGAATTGTGTTTCACCCTAAGCTATTTTATTTTATTTGACCATTGAAGTTGCTGGGCTGTTAATTAAGAGGAACAATATTCATATCAATATTTCCGCAAAACTTGTGTGCTCATACATTTATTAATTTTCTCAAAGCTGTTCTGTATCTGTCACTGCTAGTCATGAGGTTAGCAATCTTTCTGTTGATCAATGATCATGATATCTGTTAAATAATATGGCCCAAAGTAATAATATAAATAAGACAACATGATAGCACTCACAAATTCTTGTTTGATCAAGCCAGTACACATTTGATTATAAAGGTGATTATGTTAGATAAATGAAGTTGATTGTGTGTCTTGTATTGTAGCATTACCTTAAAGATCCTCCAAATATGGACTTCCTTGACTTAGAGGTGGAGAACGACATGACAGTCCTGGTAAATATCAAATAAACAAAATTATAATGTTTTACTGTAGAAGGATATCAATGACAAAATAAGAACAAACCCTTAGAATACAACTACTGTATGAGAAATCCATGGCCAACTTTATGTACTATTAATGGTACAATGTGATTTTCTGGATAATTATAGGCAATTACGAATGCAAAGTAAAATTCTGATCATGATCACATACAAGTGTTTATAAGGAAAATATCCCATAATATATCTATTGTTAACAATATATAGATAATCAGACATTTTTGAGAGAAACTGACAAAAAAATAATAATACCAGGTCGCCACCAACTGCTGTTATATGAATTGTTTTCTTTTTATAGCTGCGCAAAGATATGATTGATCACGTAATTAACTCCATGACGATCGAAACCTATGTGAAATCACCAGATGAGGTAATGTTTGTTACGAAAGAATAATGTTAATATACAGTCTTATCTTGTAAAAGTCTTAATGTGGGAGGAAAACTTGAGTATCTGGAGAAAATCCCACATGGTCGGGCAGGTGGCGGGGATCACACACTAGGAATCTTCGTGAAAATAAGTGGGCTGTCCACTGCACCAGACTTACCATATTGTCTAAGTCCCTTAAGTCAAACAAGAACAAACTTCTCTAAGTTTGACTGTTTGTCTTTTTGATGCAAAAAATATATTGAGAATACCAATCATCTAGGATACAAATATTCTACGTAAATCAAGGTCATAGTGGCTCATTAAGAGCTTGTGTTTTTTGTTTTTGCTCGACTTGCTGACTTTAGATAAAGTTGATCTTTTTCTGAATCAGTATCTATCAGACATCAGCAAAGGCTGCGTTCTCTTCAGGCCTTGTCTTTTCATATTACCCGTGTGATATCAGTATTACAGCCTTATCTGGTATATGTTGTATGTATCACTGCAGATAGATAAATACCAACATTGATGAATTAGGTGGAAAAATCTGAAATTGTATTTCAATTTTCAAAGGAGAACTTAGCACTTCTTGGGCAATCATCTTGATATGTCTGGTATATACTATAGAAATACAGCAGTCATAGTTATGAACCAATCTACATACAGGTCAACCAAAACTACTTAATTTAAAAAAAGTTATTTTTCTATATTTTACAGAGACACGTCGATGTGGAGAAGAGAAACTATTCCTACACTGTAATCAATGGTACCAACTTCAGGTTTGTTTCGACGTAGCCTTTGAAAAATATTTCCATGTGTTTATAGAAAACCTGTCTGTAGAGAACATCTGTATATAGGGGAAACCTGAATGTGTAGGTTTCCTGTCAATTGGGGACAATATGTTTACCAGTCATACCAGACTATAAGGGACATCATTAGTTCACAGGCCAGGGCTCACCTAACAAAAGGGACATGCTTGCCTATTGCAGAGGTCTGCCAATACAGAACACTGGGTCAAAGGTGAAAACTTGTCCATGGGTAGCACCTAACCATGTGGGTACCTGTCTATAGATACGGCGCCAAAGGGAAATATCTGTCTATAGAGAATGTGTAGAACACCTGTCTGTATATTCCTGGCCGTATGGAACACCTGTCTATAAAGATAAATAATTGTACGAAACCTAAACCTTAATTTAGAAAAGTCAAATAGGATTTTACCTTATTTTGTTTGCTTACATTAATAAGGTTCAAAGTAGATTAAAGTCTAGTGATTTTTTATGGTTTGTAGATTAATCTACATGTTATTTAAACAAAGTTGCCATACTTTAACCTTTTACAGTTTGGGAATAAGTCTGCCTCTCTACCAAAAGCGATTTCCACAGTTGGAGGGAAATGCGTGTAATATAAGTGAGTATTAAGCTGTTTCAGGTAATGTAAGTTATGTCTGATATAGCCACACACTGACAGGGGAGGTAATCCTGATTTACAGTAATGGCTTTATTTGCTGGTAATGTAAGTTATGTCAGATATAGCCACACAGTGACAGGGGAGGTAATCCTGATTTACAGTAATGGCTTTATTTGCTGGTAATGTAAGTTATGTCAGATATAGCCACACCGTGACAGGGGAGGTAATCCTGATTTACCGTAATGGCTTTATTTGCTGGTAATGTAAGTTATGTCTGATATAGCCACACAGTGACAGGGGAGGTAATTCTGATTTACAATAATGACTCTATTTGCTGGTAATGTAAACCATTAGCTTTGTAATCTTGTCATTATATTTTAAAATCATCTCTAATACTATTATGTGTTTATTAAGCATTGCTTGTTTAATAAACATTACAAATTAGTTAAAGCTGACAATGCCTGTTTTAAACCACCAATTTTCTTTTAGAAAGTTCAGTTATCTTTTTCCTACACCAAGAGGTGTCCTGGTAAATATATAATGATCAAGTGAGCTTGATGTCTCCCTGATAAAGCTTAGTTGGTAATGAGTGGGCTTAGTCAAACCAAATATGGCATGGTTGAATTATTATTTATCTAAATCATGATTTTACTAGTAAGAGTGTGTTCTGTGTGTGTGTGTGTGTTTTATGGTCACCTGCCAACAGATAGTTGTACCCAGACAAAAACATGACAGAGGTAGACCTGATTGGTGAATCACAAACACAGGAATTGATTGGTGTAAGAAATACATTTTATGGAAAAATCTCACTGATGGATCTTGCCATACATTGTCATCTATGATCTTTGAGAACTTTTATAAAATGTTCAAAAATGTGTTTGTCACTGAAGGCATCCCTGTATTTCTCTCTTTGTAGCTGATATGAATTTCACACATTCCGAAGTTCTGGTTGCACCCTGGTAAGTAGAAGGTTTGATCTTCAGATATGTTCTAGTGACATTTGATCCTTACTACAGTTAGGACGCTCATATCAGCTGAGCATTAACTGAACTACAGTTAGGAAGCTAATATGAGCCAACATTTAATCATATTTACAGCTAGGAAGCTAATCTAAGCGAGTAGATTTTTTAAACACAGATCTTTTTTCTATTTGTCTTATGTACAGAATTCCCTCGAAGGAACTACCTGACAAAATTGAAAAAGAAATTAGGATGTAATTATGAGGACGATTTAAAATGTTTCGAAAATTCCTCGAAATCTTTTGACAGGAGGATTTAATGCTTAGTCACATTTTTTCTACCTTTTTGGCTAAATTACAGCCCACATTTAATTGAAATTTGATGTTTCACCCAAACTTAATTTAGAATCCTCAGCTGTGTCCTTGTTTTCCCTAAAACAGGGCTTCAGTCCCAGAAAACAAACTAATACACTTCTTATTATCAAAATGGTCATTTTAGTGCATATTCTGATAATTCATTTATGACACGAAACAGAAGGATTTGAAGGTTGGATTGGTACTGTACTAGGTTGTATGGAAGGTTTAACCCTGAGAGTATTTTTGTGTCCTGACAGGGATTACTATGAAGGAATGAGCAGTAATAACCTGACAGGGTTTTTAGCTGACCTCCACAAAGTCCTCAAGCTCAAACAGAGGTGTGAGAACCTCCAATGTAAGTTTGTTTCTGTGTTACGTGTAAGTTCTCTGTTTGACCTGCTCTCTTCACAGGGAGAACCTCCAATGTAAGTTTGTTTCTGTGTTACGTGTAAGTTCTCTGTTTGACCTGCTCTCTTCACAGGGAGAACCTCCAATGTAAGTTTGTTTCTGTGTTACGTGTAAGTTCTCTGTTTGACCTGCTCTCTTCACAGGGAGAACCTCCAATGTAAGTTTGTTTCTGTGTTACGTGTAAGTTCTCTGTTTGACCTGCTCTCTTCACAGGGAGAACCTCCAATGTAAGTTTGTTTCTGTGTTACGTGTAAGTTCTCTGTTTGACCTGCTCTCTTCACAGGGAGAACCTCCAATGTAAGTTTGTTTCTGTGTTACGTGTAAGTTCTCTGTTTGACCGTCTCTCTCACAGGGAGAACCTCCAATGTAAGTTTGTTTCTGTGTTACGTGTAAGTTCTCTGTTTGACCGTCTCTCTCACAGGGAGAACCTCCAATGTAAGTTTGTTTCTGTGTTACGTGTAAGTTCTCTGTTTGACCGTCTCTCTCACAGGGAGAACCTCCAATGTAAGTTTGTTTCTGTGTTACGTGTAAGTTCTCTGTTTGACCGTCTCTCTCACAGGGAGAACCTCCAATGTAAGTTTGTTTCTGTGTTACGTGTAAGTTCTCTGTTTGACCGTCTCTCTCACAGGGAGAACCTCCAATGTAAGTTTGTTTCTGTGTTACGTGTAAGTTCTCTGTTTGACCGTCTCTCTCACAGGGAGAACCTCCAATGTAAGTTTGTTTCTGTGTTACGTGTAAGTTCTCTGTTTGACCGTCTCTCTCACAGGGAGAACCTCCAATGTAAGTTTGTTTCTGTGTTACGTGTAAGTTCTCTGTTTGACCGTCTCTCTCACAGGGAGAACCTCCAATGTAAGTTTGTTTCTGTGTTACGTGTAAGTTCCCTCGTTGACCGTCTCTCTCACAGGGACCTATAATTTGTGGTTGATGTTAACCAGCAGCGGTATTTGATTAAAACATACCAATCAAGACTCGGCTTTCAAATTATATTTTAATATACCGTAGTTCATTGTTGATTAGGAGAATCTGCTGTCACAAGTGCACAAAATGCTGTCGTTGTAACTTAATAGACATAAAGATCACAATGTACTGTTGGAAAGTATTCATGGTAGTCAAGCTAACTTTTCAGTAGGAAAGCTGCCGATGGGGTTATCCTATACACAATATTTGTCCAGAAAACAAACAATGCCTAGTCTGGTGTGATTTTCCTCTACAGTTGCGGATGGCATTAAAGTTGACATGGATAAGGTAAAACACTTACACTGGGACATGCAGATGGCCAAGCTGTTTGACATCTACTGGACCGACATGGCAGCCTATCCTCATGTCATGAACAAAAGGTACACACAACAAATGGAATCCCCAGTCTGTATAGTTTGTTGTTTAAGTTTTTGTTCAGACCTGATTTCTGTCTTAGTTAAACAACGTTTAAGTCTACCGTTATTTGTGTGCATTAACAAGGTTACACCGGGAAAACTGTTATAATCCATAGAGAGGCAACGCTGTGTTAAGGAGTCAGGTCATCTACATCAGAGTAGAGATATTTCTAAATGTAAAGGGTTCTATAGAGATAGTTGTGAAATACACAGGGTTCTGTAGAGATAGGTGTTAAATACACAAGGTTTTATTGAGATAGGTTTTTAATACACAGGGTTTTATAGAGACAGGAATAGAATCTATACAGGGTTCTATAGAGATAGGTGTGTAATTCACAGGGTTCTATTCAGATAAATGTGTAATACAGATTCTTTAGAGATAGTTGTATGCTATAACGATATGTGCTTTGGAAATAGAATTAAATACACATGTCGCAGAGAAAATGTCTGAGGGAATACTGCAAGCGAAAATCTACAAGACTACTTAAGTGCATTAATAAGTAAATAAAAGGCATCAATTCTAAGATTCCTTTAATATCTTTTTTTTATGTTGAGACATTTAATTTGTTGTTTAGTCCATTGAATTCTTATATAGATTACTAGTATGCCAACCGTATACCATTTTTGTGAACTACCCATTTTGTTTTTGATTCCAGCACATCCGATAATGACACATCATTTAACACTACTGATGTACAGTTAGTATTGAAATGAGAAAGATTTTTGAGATCTATTTTATCTCATCAACTGGCAATGGTACCTGTGAGCTTATGCAGTGGTGTGGCGTCCGTTGTCCGTCTATCCAGTAAACATTTTTACAAAACAGATTAGATCCACACAGCCAAGACTTTTGGCACTTGTTCTGTTGCTGCTGAAGTTGAGGACAGCAAGTTTGTCCAGCTCAATGACCTTGTTCATCTTTTCAAGGCCACATGGGTCAAATAGCTAAAAAATTAAATGAAATATCCGTAAGCTAAGAGCAGTGACGATTTTCCTATAGCCTGTTGATGTGAAGGACACATAAGGTTTCCAAATAAATTTCCTTAACCTGATTTTAAAGTTACATGTATGTTGAATATCCATACTACCTGTAAAGATCTACAGGGTCTAAATAAACAGTTACTATGATTAAGGATTATCCACTTTGCTTAGATAAATAACCTTGACATGTTTTCATGTTCAGCGGTGTCAAATGTGGTAAAACCTTCAAAAAACTTCTTCTCAAGATCTTTAAGATCTAGAATAACTATATTTGCTTGAAGCTTACTGTAACAGTTATGTTTATTAAAATAAATGACCTTACCACACTTTCAAGCTCACAAAGGACATCAATGTTAAACAGCAATAACTCTGAAGACCTCTATCCACTTTCTAGGTCACAGGGGTCAATGTATAAGACTATTTAAACAGTTTCATCTGAAGGTCAGAAGACAGAGTTAATAGTATTTGGCTTGTAGTTCGCTGACAGAATAACATGTTTGTCTGAAATATATTATCTTAGCCCACTTTCAAGGTCCAAAGGGTCAAATGTGTTTTATAAAAAATCAAACGATGGTCTTTCAAGCTTAGTAGCAATATTTGGCATGTAGCTTTCTAGGAAACTGGCCATCAAGTTTGTTAAAGGAAATGACATAAAATGTATTGATATCGTCCAACAAATATTCATCAGGTTAAGAGGAATATTTGACCTGTGGTGACCACTTGCTTGCTACCAAATTAAAATGACTTTGACATTGACCTACTTGATTTAAAGCTCACATTTGTGAGATATGATTTTAAACATCATTCAATAACTGGTGAGCGATACATGCCCAGTGGCCCTTGCTATTTTATATCATAATATTTAGACTTTAACACTGGTAATTTTTGTTTTTTGATATTTCTAACATTGCATACTATTACATACCTAATACATTGTATATACTTAACAATCCTTTTGGTTTCTTTGAACTACTGTAATGCTACTTGGGAAATGTGGTGCTTTTTGTGTTTGACTTTAACACTTTTGAGAAAGTTTTAGGCCACTTGGGTCACAAGCTCATGTGACCTAATGCCATCTGTCTTGTCATAGCCATCTGCTGTTGAAAAACATTTCACATTTTCGACATCTTTGCGAGAACCAAAAGGCTTAGAGTTAAGGTATCTGGGCTGTAGCTTGCTGTGGTGGAGGGTTACTAAATTTGTTCCAATGAATCAAATTACCTTGACTCGTTATCAAGGTCACAAGTGCCAAAAAGTGTCTAAATATCTATGAGGCCTTGTGGCTTCATGAGTGATGGCCTATCAAAAGCATCCAAATAAATAACCTGGACACATTTTGAGGTAACAGGAGTCAAATAAGTTAATATCTTCAAATAGTTTGCTCTAAAGGTCTGAGGTCTAAAGTAATTATATATGGCTTTTAGCTTTCTTGAAATAAGGATGATGAAACTTGTTGAAGTCACCAGTAATATTTAGTCTTGAATCATTCCTACATGTCTTTGGTTAAATTCCTCGCTAATGTCCAGATCTGTGATTGGTTAAAATATTCTTTGCTAATGTCCAGCATCGGTTATGAAACATCTTTAGTGTCCAAGCCTGTCATTTGTTAATCTTGAATATCTATAGACCATAGATTAAAATAAGACTTTAACATTTAGACCCATCAATCGTTATAAATAGCCTATAGTATCTAGTCCTACCACTGGTTTATAGTATTAGATACTAACATCTAAACCTGTCACAGATTATTCTAAAAAACAACACTTTTCACCGACTTTAATACGCTTGAGCTGTAGCTAGCGTCGAAAAATAAAGACATTATACTAAGTGATACATAGTCTAGACTAGATCTGACAATGAAATTAAAAAAAATATTTATCATAATGGTGATGGCTTTTCCGTTGTTTTCTAAATATACTGGACGCTTGCAGACGTGTTGAGTAAATATGCTGGCTAATTTTTACATTTCAATACGTTGTTAACCTAAGCATGCCGTCCGATTACAAGGAATGTTGTCTGCCCTTCTGTAGTGTATGAATGGTGCATATTGTAAGGTGGCAGATGTACTTGTAGTGTCCTGTCATTGGGGGGGAATACATACATGAGACCAATACAATGAGTCCTAGCTAGTCTGTAGACTTTACAAGAATCTCGACCTTAAGCACAGGATATTTGTAGCAGAAATGCATGATCATTATGTCATGGTAACATTGTGAACACACAAAAATACCTAAATATTCGCCTGCTGAGTAGGCACAATGACAAGCAAGTACTGTTTAAGGGAACTACGGCCCATTACTTCCTATATTTTGGCCACCTTTTGGCTGTTAATCCAGTCTCTGTTCCTGGCGCAAAGTGGCAAATAATCCAACCTCTGTTCCTGGCTAATAGTGGCTATTAATCCAACCTGCTTTCCAGTTTAAACGTATCGCTTTTAAGGTAAAGAGTACCATTTAATAAAAAGATTACTATTATCACTATCATGAAATATTTGTTCTAGTCCTTTTCTACTGAGTTTGAATATATATATAAGTCACATCTGGTGATGCATTTTACAGAATTACAGTTTTCGATATATGAGTTTTCGATATTTGAGTTTTCAAAATATTTAACAAGCAAAAAAAGGAAGAGAAAAAAAAGTACAGGGATGGAACGTCATCATTACACTGCTTATCATACACTTTAGCTGTGATACTATCCAGGAAATATATATGCATAGCATCAAAATGAGAGGTGAATACACCTTTACAAGGAAACATCTTAGCCAGAAAAGATTTTCCTATCGTATTCTATATTTGAGTGAGTAAACTTCCAATTCAATTAAAAAAAGCTCTGTAGTTTCCGTAGTTTCCGTAGTTACAGTTGATGCAGTGGTACCCTTTACCTTTCTCCAACCTGTACTCCTGGCTCAAAGTGGCTTTTCATCCAACCTCTATTCCTTGCTCAAAGTAACTGTTAAAGCGACATTCCTCCCTGGCTAAAAGTAAATATTCATCTAACCTCCATTCTTGGCTGAAATTTGCTTTCATTCCAATCTTGACTCAAAGTGGCGGTAATACTAAGACCTCCATTCCTGGCTCAAAGTGGCTGTTAATAAGCCTCCATTCCTGGTTCAAAGTGGCGGTTAATAAGACCTCCGTTCCTGGCTCAAAGTGGCGGTTAATAAGACCTCCATTCTTGGCTCAAAGTGGCTGTTAATAAGACCTCCATTCCTGGCTCAAAGTGGCGGTTAATAAGACCTCCATTCCTGACTTAAAGTGGCGTTTAATAAGACCTCCATTCCTGGCTCAAAGTGGCTGTTAATAAGACCTCCAATCCTGGCTCAAAGTGGCGGTTATAATAAAACCTCCATTACTGGCTCAAAGTGGCGGTTATAATAAAACCTCCATTCCTGGCTCAAAGTGGCGTTTAATAAGACCTCCATTCCTGACTTAAAGTGGCGGTTAATAAGACCTCCAATCCTGGCTCAAAGTGGCGGTTGTAATAAAAACCTCCATTACTGGCTCAAAGTGGCAGTTATAATAAAACCTCCATTCCTGGCTCAAAGTGGCGGTTAATAAAACCTCCATTACTGGCTCAAAGTGGCGGTTATAATAAAACCTCCATTCCTGGCTCAAAGTGGCTGTTAATAAAACCTCCATTCCTGGCTCAAAGTGGCTGTTAATAAGACCTCAACTCCTGGCTAAAAGTGGCTTGATTGATGGAGCATGACTATGCATTATTCTTCAATGTTTAGTGCATAACCCGGGGAGACTGGTACCAGTAAGACGTTGAGTACAGAGCCTCTATATCTGTTAGGTGTACAGAGTTAGAGGCTGAGAAAGTACCAGTGAGACCTATTGTGTATGTAATATCACTGTACAGTGTTATAGTGCTACAAGTACCAGTAAGACGTTGAGTACAGAGCCTCTATATCTGTTAGGTGTGCAGAGTCAGAGGCTGAGAAAGTACTAGTGAGACCTATTGTGTATGTAATCCCAGTGTACAGTGTTAGAGGGTATGTAAGTACACTGTATCAGTAAGACGTTTAGTACAGAGCCTCTATATCTGTTAAGTGTGTAGAGTAAGAGGCTGAGAAAGTACTAGTGAGACCTATTGTGTATGTAATCCCAGTGTACAGTGTTAGTGCTACAAGTACCAGTAAGACGTTGAGTACAGAATGTTGTCACCGTTAGCAACTGCTGTAGAATGATGATGCTTATAGAAGAGGAATGACTCTGTGTCATGGCAAATGTAAAAATTGTAGGCCAGACATTTTGAACTCATGCTCATATTGTTACAAGGTGAAGGAGAGTGTTCATTAACAATTGATAGACATTTTCTGCATGCATTTTTACAGTAAAAAAGATAATGCCTGCTTCTTACCTTTTTATCTACAATCCAAAAATAACATTTCTATGGAAACTTGGGTCGAAAGGTCCTTTGATAAAACATTTTTATTCTAATATCAATTCTTCTTTCTTATATAAGGGTTAGTTTATTGCATGTTACACATGATGAATTCCCTGATCAGCTTGGGACCAGAAGTTTGTACTACAGTACAATCTAGCTAGTTTTATGTGGCTGTTAGTGTCAGCTTTATATACATGGTAAATGCATTGTGACAAATACTTCAATTACAATAGGATGCATGTGAATTAGCTTACCATGTAAATACTTTAACAAATTGTTTATATTTCTTTTTCAATGACTTTATAGTATTAAAATCTAAATAATAGAAGTCAGGAAGGTTTAGATATGTATATAGAAAGTCAACATTCATACATTTTTTGTTTCATTAAAAATTTGTAAAATAATGCTTTTGTATTCAAAGTCTTGATTTTCATTTCCAATGTATTTTGTTTGTTGAATGAATAAAAGACTTGTGGATATATGATGATATTGATATCTGTACGATAGCATTATCCGTGTAATTATGTGTATAATTTGTTTATTTCTGCGGTGTGTTGTATATGTAAAGCTGTCTGACACTTTTACTTGCATGCTGATACTTGGTCTAATTTGACAGAGTGGTGGCACATTTCATGGGAACCGCAAGTGGAATCACCACAGTCTTTCCCAAAAGGTAAGGAAACCACATTGTAGTTCTGTGTTACATCTGATAAAGGTATGCTGGAATGGCCACCTCACCTATCCACCAGGCTGGTATCCGACACCTGAGGTTCAAAGTCATATAGATCTTTACTGCCTTACACAGTTTACATGTTGTATTTAGTTAAGGATATATGCTACCTGACATATGGTACATCAGTAATATTGATGTTAGAGTTAAGGATATATGCTACCTTACATATGGTACATCCGTGATATTGATTTTAGAGTTAAGGATAAATGCAACCTTACATATGGTACATCCGTGATATTGATGTTAGAGTTAAGGATATATGCTACCTGACATATGGTACATCCGTGATATTGATTTTAAAGTTAAGGATAAATGCAACCTGACATATGGTACATCTGTGACTAGTGTCCAAGTTAAGGATATATGCTACCTGACATATGGTACCTCCGTGATATTGATGTTAGAGTTAAGGATATATGCTACCTGACATATGGTACATCCGTGATATTGATGTTAGAGTTAAGGATATATGCTACCTGACATATGGTACATCCGTGATATTGATGTTAGAGTTAAGGATATATGCAACTTGACATATGGTACATCTGTGACTTGTGTCCAAGTTAAGGATGTATGCTACCTGACATATGGTACATCTGTGATATTGATGTTAGAGTTAAGGATATATGCTACCTGACATATGGTACATCAGTGATAATGATGTTAGAGTTAAGGATATATGCAACCTGACATATGGAACATCTGTGATATTGATGTTAGAGTTAAGTATATATGCTACCTGACATATGGTACATCCGTGATATTGATGTTAGAGTTATGGATATATGCAACCTGACATGGTACATCCGTGATATTGATGTTAGAGTTAAGGATATATGCTACCTGACATATGGTCCATCAGTGATATTGATGTTAGAGTTAAGGATATATGCAACCTGACATATGGTACATCTGTGACTTGTGTCCAAGTTAAGGATGTATGCTACCTGACATATGGTACATCTGTGATATTGATGTTAGAGTTAAGGATATATGCAACTTGACATATGGTACATCTGGGACTTGTGTTCATGTTAAGGATATATGCAACCTTACATAGGGTACATCTGTGACTTGTGTCCAAGTTAAGGATGTATGCTACCTGACATATGGTACATCCGTGATATTGATGTTAGAGTTAAGGATATATGCAACCTTACATATGGTACATCCGTGATATTGATGTTAGAGTTAAGGATATATGCTACCTGACATATGGTCCATCAGTGATATTGATGTTAGAGTTAAGGATATATGCAACCTTACATATGGTACATCCGTGGTATTGATGTTAGAGTTAAGGATATATGCTTCCTCACAGTGAGGCTGGTTTGTTACTGTTTATAGTCCTGTGTTTCTGTTGACAATGATCTGGTTTGTTACTATTTATAGTCCTGTATTTGTGTTGGCAATGATTTGGTTTGTTACTATTTATAGTATTGACAGTTTGTTACTATTTATAGTCCTATGTTTTGCGTTGACAGTGAGGCTGGTCTATTGGAGAAAGACCGAGATACCTGGAAGGCAATCTACTACCGACGTTCCCTGGACACCTCAAAGTCTGTGTTCAGTGTCGACTACACACTGGGTAATTATATAATCTCTGTCATGTTATGTATGTGTATCAATTTTTGTGTGTGTATAAATACTGAAGAAAAAAACAAAACAACTCTTATAGCGACTAGTGACCACCTCAACTATAAAGGAAAGGTGTCAGTTATTTTTGCTGTAGACAGGCCTAGGGTATTTAAAGTAATGATCATTTAACAATTGGAGTAAATTTATATTTTGCCAGGCAAGAGGAGTGTCAATGAGAGTGTCCCCAACATCCGAATCACCAGGTCCATCACCATGGATATATCCGGCGATACTTACAAACCGGCAGGTATGTAATGGATACACATGGACATTGCTAATACTCCCTGGTACATGTAGGTTGTTGGTATCACTAATGGTCAAGCGTATTTGTTGACTCTTATCACTTATACAGATATAGGTGTCGTTTCTGTTCTCCTAAACATCAAGGTATATATGTCGATCACTACCAGTCATGTTACAAAAAGGGGTCACCACGGGTCATCGTTAGAGGTAGGTGTCACCATGGGTCATTGTTAGAGGTAGGTGTCACCACGGGTCATCGTTAGAGGTAGGTGTCACGACGGGTCATCGTTAGAGGTAGGTGTCACTACGGGTCATTTTTAGAGGTAGGTGTCACCACGGGTCATTGTTAGAGGTAGGTGTCACCACGGGTCATCGTTAGAGGTAGGTGTCACTACGGGTCATTTGTAGAGGTAGGTGTCACCACGGGTCATTGTTAGAGGTAGGGGTCACCACGGGTCATCGTTAGAGGTAGGTGTCACTACGGGTCATTGTTAGAGGTAGGTGTCACCACGGGTCATTGTTAGAGGTAGGTGTCATCACGGGTCATCGTAAGAGGTAGGTGTCACCACTGGTCATCGTTAGAGGTAGGTGTCACCACGGGTCATCGTTAGAGGTATGTGGCAGCTGTGTCACAGAATCAAGTATCAAAACGTGTAACTGATATTTAAGGAAGCATTTATTACAGCGAGTTACCATACACATAGTGGTTATTGTTTAGAGACAGATATATGTATCAGACTCAACCAATATATGTTCTTATTGACGTACATACATTGTTTAGTGTATTAATGCTATTTATCTAAAATAACCCCATTATTGTTTGCTCTTACCCAGGACAAGTTTCACACTTTTTCTGTCATGAGATATCCCTGTCTTTACCCTTCAGTTAAAAAGGTTTCTCAGTCATAAGTGTTGTATGACGTCATGTCGGTGATGCATTGATATAACCCGACCTTGCATATATGACACGGCCATCAGGCTTGGGTAAGAGAAAAAGAATCATCCCCTACCCTCTTCCCCGAAGGGGTGAGATGGGGATCTAGAGGAAAGATCCTTAAGTCTCATGTTTGACAGCTTAAGAATTTTCCCTGTCATCTAGAGATCCCCTATCTCACTCCCAAGGGAGTAAAACTGTTATTTATCCACAATAATTAACAGATGGTTTGTTGGACATTTCAGTGGCGGGTCTTTTTATCTCGCACGAGACCATAGTAGATGTGATGCTGAAGACTATTGAGAAGAATACCAAGTCCGGTACTTTGAGCTGTAGTGATACAGCAGAAATGTTGTGCTATCTACTGGATGACGGAGCTTTCCTGATCGCTACGAACCAGCCAGATAAAGAGACAGAAGTAGGAGTACTTGTATTTCTACAGAGGTGTATGTTATGTGTATTGAGACAGTCTTGTAACTGTTACAACAGTACAATCAGATGTCTTTTTCAATGGTGACATTATCATTAGCAAGTGCCAATTATTTATTTTTATCAAGAAACCTCTTTGTTTTAGATTCATTATTTTGATTCAATTTCTTTTATGCTTTTAATTCTGTTTAAAAAACGTCAATCTGTTTCGACAAGTTTGGTCTCGTGGAATTATTGAAATTATTAGTTTACTTTCATTTTTGTTTCCTTTATTCCGACACACTGTTCATTTGTTACTGACATAGTCCTCACTAACGACATTGATATCTACCGTATTACAATATCCTTATTCACCTAGCCGAAACTAACATTGATATCTACCGTATTACAATATCCTTATTCACCTAGCCGAAACTAACATTGATATCTACCGTATTACAATATCTATATTCACCTAGCCGAAACTAACATTGATATCTACCGTATTACAATATCCTTATTCACAGAGCCGAAACTAACATTGATATCTACCGTATTACAATATCTATATTCACCTAGCCGAAACTAACATTGATATCTACCTTATCACAATATCCTTGCCGAAACTAACATTGATATCTACCGTATTTCAATATCCTTATTCACCTAGCCGAAACTAACATTGACATCTACCGTATTACAATATCCTTATTCACCTAGCCAAAACTAACATTGATATCTACCGTATTACAATATCCTTATTCTCCTAGCCGAAACTAACATTGATATCTACCGTATCACAATATCCTTGCCGAAACTAACATTGATATCTACCGTATTACAATATCCGTATTCACCTAGCCGAAACTAACATTGATATCTACCTTATCACAATATCCTTGCCGAAACTAACATTGATATCTACCGTATTACAATATCCGTATTCACCTAGCCGAAACTAACATTGATATCTACCGCATTACAATATCTATATTCACCTAGCCGAAACTAACATTGATATCTACCATATTACAATATCCTTATTCACCTAGCCAAAACTAACATTGATATCTACCGTATCACAATATCCTTGCCGAAACTAACATTGATATCTACCGTATTTCAATATCCTTATTCACCTAGCCGAAACTAACATTGACATCTACCGTATTACAATATCCTTATTCACCTAGCCGAAAATAACATTGATATCTACCGTATTAAATATCCTTATTCCCCTAGCCGAAACTAACATTGATATCTACCGTATTACAATATCCTTATTCTCCTAGCCGAAACTAACATTGATATCTACCGTATCACTATATCCTTGCCGAAACAAACATTGATATCTACCGTATTACAATATCCTTATTCTCCTAGCCGAAACTAACATTGATATCTACCGTATCACTATATCCTTGCCGAAACAAACATTGATATCTACCGTATTACAATATCCTTATTCACAGAGCCGAAACTAACATTGATATCTACCGTATTACAATATCCTTATTCACCTAGCCGAAAATAACATTGATATCTACCGTATTAAATATCCTTATTCCCCTAGCCGAAACTAACATTGATATCTACCGTATTAAATATCCTTATTCCCCTAGCCGAAACTAACATTGATATCTACCGTATCACTATATCCTTGCCGAAACAAACATTGATATCTACCGTATTACAATATCCTTATTCACCTAGCCGAAACTAACATTAATATCTACCGTATTACAATATCCTTATTCACCTAGCCGAAACTGTATGTCTTTCCTGATGACCTTGTAATCTGTCTCTATTATTTCGTGACCTGATTTGTCTGATGTTAGATCATTCCTTAATTTGTATTTTCTGTCGTACATTTACAGATTGGCCGATTCTTTGGTCATGTGGATGCTGGATTGATGAGTGCTTTGTACAACGAGACATATTTGAGGTGAGTATACCTGGTACTTTATTTAATGAGATATAACAGAGGTAATTTTGTTTAAAAAGATTTTCTTTTGGGCCCAGTTGTTTAAAACATGATTAGCTTAATCAATAATTAGCAGCAAATTTCATTTTTTGTGTATCTTTCAGACACAACCTTTAACTAAGTTAAAACTTTCCATATAGCAAAGATTTGGTACAGTGAAATTACAGGCAAAATTACAAGTTCACCCTGTATATTGACCAAATTATTAGAGGTTGAGAAGTATTGTTAAACAGTGATTAAGCTTGTCACCTTTTGAACAACTGCACCCATGTAGGTATAGAATATATAGAGGTGAGTATCCTTTATATTCAACGAGGCAAACAGACTTCAATACACTTATAATTATTTGTTAAAAAATGGTGACATTTTTCTTCACTTTAAAACTATGTTTTGGAGAAAATTGATCAATAATTATATTAAACCTAATGGCAGAATAACAATGAAATAAACGGATAGTAGTTTTTCAAAAAAAACCAACCTTTGATAATAATTTTGTATACTGCTCTCATTTCAGAAAAGGCATAGTCTTCAATTCATACATTTATATATGTTCCTACAAATATAGTGTATGTCCATGTCTGTATGTTGTGTTTCTGTTTTGAGCAGTATGACTTCCATACATACATGTATATATATGTTCCTACAGATATATAGTGTATGTCCATGTCTGTATGTTGTGTTTCTGTTTTGAGCAGTATGACTTCCATACATACGTGTATATATATGTTCCTACAGATATATAGTGTATGTCCATGTCTATATGTTGTGTTTCAGACTTGAGCAGTATGACTACCTGGTGATATGCTATAAGATAGTGTATGACCACGTCTGTATGTTGTGTTTCAGACTAGAGCAGTATGACTACCAGGCGACATGCTCTAAGCTCAGTTATAGTGTATGACCACGTCTGTATGTTGTGTTTCAGACTTGAGCAGTATGACTACCAGGCGACATGCTCTAAGAGTGATGATGGCAGTAACAGTGCGGCTTCTCTGTCATTTAGAATTGTGAGTCTCTATACTGTGTCTGATTCTGCTCCAAAAATGCCAAGAACAATATCAGCAGTATTTTCTACAATGGTTTCTTAAAAAAATAGAACACATACAGATAAAAGCAATATTCTTAAAACTTAGAGATCATTATATTTTTCTTACACAAAAGTTTGGATCCTTAACTTTCATTCTTACCTATATGCTGAAAGAGTTACGGTAGCCTGAATATCTTAAGGTTTTACATTTTATTCTATTTTTGGATTACAGCCGTCCATTAACCTTTTGTTTGACCTCTTGACCGTAAACTGGTTCAGCAGCTTCTGGACGTGGTATGTATCCTGAAAGTTGGGCAAAAAATAATATATTTTTTTCTACTTTATTAAATGTAATGTATTTTGTGAAATGAAATTTGTCATCAATTAAGAATCAACTTCAATGCTTTTGCATCAAAATGTTATCAAAAAAAATAACACTTGTGTATTAGTGCAAAATATCATCACAGATTAAACTTGAATTTAAGAAAGTTTGAGCTTGTTAGTCATTCATAAATATTGTCTTTCTTGTCTTCCAGGACTGCATTTAACTTCAATCTATTCAGGTAAGCTTGGACAAGACAGCATTTAATATACCCATAGAATTAATGTAATCTAATGTAATCCTGCCTGAATAAGATCTGGTTATCATTTAATCTGGCTTTTATTTGATGTACATGCATTAACAGAAATAAATAAATCATTTTAGCTGGTGGGCTAAGCCCAAATTCAAAAGCCCAAGCTGGTGGGCTAAACCCAAACAGCTTATGCAAAAATTCCCAGAGATATAGCTTGTGTATAAGGCAGCTAAAATGTTTTGAACATTATTTGGGTAATGAAAATTTAACTTAATTTCTAAATGATGAATCAAGTACAAGATTTTGTGTTAGGTGTATGTATAATTGCTTTGATATTATCTTTGTATCTGTTTAATTTATGTATTTGTATTCTTCCCCCAGCTGGCTGTCCCCACAGACATATGCAGGTAAGACAATCTTTGTTTCTAATCACATTGGTAATGATCTCATTAATTGAAAAATAACAAAATCAAATTTGATGTACTTGATCTTTATCATAATTTCTCATGAGAATTTACATACAAGCAACTAGTAAATGGCTGGGTTTGGTATGGAATAGATAATATCACCAGGTAACCTTTGGTGTTATGGAGCTATAACACAAAAAACCAAAGTGTTCTCTCATCATAAACCGCTTTAATCTACTATACACAATCACTGTGGAAATCCACCTTTATTGATGGACTTTTTTCTCTTAGAAATTGTAACGCCACTGTACATATCAGCCAATCAAAAGCGACATTACAAACAGCCACATCGTTTTTTACGTTATTGGCTGATAACATAATTTGTTAAGCCAATTAAAACGCTAGTTACCAGCAAGATTAAATTATAACGTTATAATACAACTCGACTATTGCCTTGTTTCACAGCTTCTGTGGAGATCCCAGAGGAGATGATCCAATCAACCGACGAAACAGACCACTGTATAAAGAAGCAGGCCCAATACTACTTCAGTGATAAGCTGGGAACTGGTGCCTTCAAAGATACCATCTACCCTTGTGACAAGAACTGTACTAGGTATGGAGTAAAGAGGACAATATAGTGTTACTCAGGTGTTAGCCTGTTATTACTCATAAGTGTAACACAGGTGTGAGGGTAGAAACACTCATAGCCAAGTGTAACACAGGTATGAGGACAGAAACACTCATAGCCAAGTGTAACACAAGTGTGAGGGTAGAAACACTTATAGCCAAGTGTAACACAGGTGTGAGGGCAGAAACACTTATAGCCAAGTGTAACACAGGTGTGAGGGTAGAAACACTTATAGCCAAGTATAACACAGGTGTGAGGGTAAAAATATTCACAGCAAAGTGTAACACAGGTGTGAGGGCAAAAACACTCATAGCCAAGTGTAACACAGGTGTGAGGGTAAAAATATTCACAACAAAGTGTAACACAGGTGTGAGGGCAAAAACACTCATAGCCAAGTATAACACAGGTGTGATGGCATAAATACTCATAACCAAGTGTAACACATGTGTGAGGGCAGAAAGTCTCAAGTGTAACACAGGTATGATGGCATATATGTACTCGTAGCCAAGTGTAACACAGGTGTGAGGGCAGAAATACACATAGCCAAGTGTATCGCAGGTGTGAGGGCAACAATACTCATAAACAAGTGTAACACAGGTGTGAGGACAGAAATACTCATAGCCAAGTCCAACACAGGTGTGAGGGCAGAAATACTCATAGCCAAGTGTAACACAGGTGTGAGGGCAGAAATACTCATAGCCAAGTGTAATACAGGTGTGAGGGCAACAATACTCATAAACAAGTGTAACACAGGTGTGAGGACAGAAATACTCATAGCCAAGTCCAACACAGGTGCGAGGACAGAAATACTCATAGCCAAGTGTAATACAGGTGTGAGGGCAGAAATACTCATAAACAAGTGTAATACAGGTGTAAGGGCAACAATACTCATAAACAAGTGTAATACAGGTGTGAGGGCAACAATACTCATAAACAAGTGTAACACAGGTGTGAGGACAGAAATACTCATAGCCAAGTCCAACACAGGGGTGAGGACAGAAATACTTATAGCCGAGCGTAACAGGTGTGAGGGGAGAAATACTCATAGCCAAGTCCAACACAGGTGCGAGGACAAAAATACTCATAGCCAAGTGTAATACAGGCGTGAGGGCAGAAATACTCATAGCCAAGTCCACCACAGGTGCGAGGACAGAAATACTCATAGCCAAGTCCAACACAGGTGTGAGGACAGAAATACTTATAGCCGAGTGTAACAGGTGTGAGGGTAGAAATACTCATAGCCAAGTCCAACACAGGTGTGAGGGTAGAAATACTCATAGCCAAGTGTTACACAGGTGTGAGGACAGAAACATTCATAGCCAAGTGTGACACATGTGTGAAGGCAGAAAGTTTCAAGTGTGTCACATGTGTCAAGGCAGAAACATTCAAAGGGTGTAGGAGTGGTCGGATGGTACATTGGAGAACCCACTTGTTTTTCACCAAGGTTGTCAGGGTTTGATTCCCAGATCAATCGTGAAAAGGTATCATCTGTCTGACCCTGTGGGTTTTCTATGGCTACTTCCACATTAAGACCCCCTGTGTGCTAACATCTGGGCCAACAAGAGTGATTAACATACGTTCCAATATTTTTTTCGTAATTGTTGTAAAATAAACTAACTTTCTATTTGTCACACCCATAACCAAGTGTAGCATACAGGTAGGTGGCCATTTGCTGGCCCTATTGACCTCTCCTGTATTGATGGGCTGTCAAACATGTAATAATAATAATAATGTAACATAGTCACAGCCTCAGCTCACTGCATATGTAACATGGGGCTTCAATATATATAAATGATGTCTTACAAAAATGCAGGGAAAACAAATCAGGCTAAAAGTACTTATTGTTACTGTCATGCATTGTTTCTCGTCCTAGGGACTTCTATGCTGTCCGCTTTGTGAAGACCAATCTTCTGTTGTTGGTTGCCACTCCTGAATGTCCTGACTGTGTGTCTACAGCTGACAGTGAGAGACTCATACAGGAGCCACGCAGGGGTAGGTATAAAAGTGATATACAGGAGTACACAGGGGTAGGTATTATAGTGATATACAGGAGACACACAGGGGTAGGTATTATAGTGATATACAGGAGACACACAGGGGTAGGTATAGTGATATACAGGAGTACACAGGGGTAGGTATTATAGTGATATACAAGAGCCAACAGGGGTAGGTATAGTGATATACAGGAGCCACACAGGGGTAGGTAAAATGATATACAGGAGCCACACAGGGGTAGGTACAGTGATATACAGGAGACACACAGGGGTAGGTATATTTATATACAGGAGCCACGCAGGGGTAGGTATAGGGATATACAGGAGACACACAGGGGTTGGTATAGTGATATACAGGAGACACATAGGGGTAGGTATATTGATATACAGGAGACACACAGGGGTAGGTATAGTCATATACAGGAGCCACACAGGGGTAGGTAAAATGATATACAGGAGCCACACAGGGGTAGGTACAGTGATATACAGGAGACACACAGGGGTAGGTATATTTATATACAGGAGCCACGCAGGGGTAGGTATAGGGATATACAGGAGACACACAGGGGTTGGTATAGTGATATACAGGAGACACATAGGGGTAGGTATATTGATATACAGGAGACACACAGGGGTAGGAATAGTGATATACAGGAGTACACAGGGGTAGGTATAGTGATATTAGTGATATACAGGAGACACACAGGGGTAGGTATTATAGTGATATACAAGATCCACACAGGGGTAGGTATAGTGATATACAGGAGTCACACAGGGATAGTTATAGTGATATACAGGAGACACACAGGGGTAGGTATATTGATATACAGGAGCCACGCAGGGGTAGGTATAGTGATATACAGGAGACACGCAGGGGTAGGTATAGTGATATACAGGAGCCACGCAGGAGTAGGTATAGTGATATACAGGAGACACACAGGGTTAGGTATAGTGATATACAGGAGTACACAGGGGTAGGAATAGTGATATACAGGAGCCACACAGGGGTAGGTAAAATGATATACAGGAGACACACAGGGGTAGGTATAAAAGTGATATACAGGAGTACACAGGGGTAGGGATTATAGTGATATACAGGAGACACACAGGGGTAGGGATAGTGATATACAGGAGACACACAGGGGTAGGTATATTTATATACAGGAGCCACGCAGGGGTAGGTATAGGGATATACAGGAGACACACAGGGGTTGGTATAGTGATATACAGGAGACACATAGGGGTAGGTATAGTTATATACAGGAGTACACAGGGGTAGGTATAGTGATATACAGGAGACCCACAGGGGTAGGTATATTGATATACAGGAGCCACGCAGGGGTAGTTATAGTGATATGCAGGAGCCACGCAGGGGTAGGTATAGTGATATACAGGAGACACGCAGGGGTAGGTATAGTGATATACAGGAGCCACATAGGGGTAGGTATAGTGATATCCAGGAGTACACAGGGGTAGGTATAGTGATATACAGGAGACCCACAGGGGTAGGTATATTGATATACAGGAGCCACGCAGGGGAAGGTATAGTGATATACAGGAGTCACACAGGGGTAGGTATAGTGATATACAGGAGACACATAGGGGTAGGTATAGTGATATACAGGAGTACACAGGGGTAGGTATAGTGATATACAGGAGCCACACAGGGGTAGGTATCGTGATATACAGGAGTCACACAGGGATAGGTATAGTGATATACAGGAGTACACAGGGGCAGGTATAGTGATATTCAGGAGTCCCGCATGGGTAGGTATAGCGATATACAGGAGTACACAGGGGCAGGTATAGTGATATACAGGAGTCACACAGGGATAGGAATAGTGATATACAGGAGACACACTGGGGTAGGTATAGTGATATACAGGAGACACACAGGGGTAGGTATAAAAGTGATATACAGGAGTACACAGGGGTAGGTATAGTGATATTCAGGAGTCACGCATGGGTAGGTATAGTGATATACAGGAGACAAACAGGGGTAGTTAAAGTGATATACAGGAGCCACGCAGGGGTAGGTATAGTGATATACAGGAGACACACAGGGGTAGGTATAATGATATACAGGAGACACAGGGGTAGGTATTATAGTGATATACAGGAGCCACGCAGGTGTAGGTATAGTGATATACAGGAGACACACAGGGGTAGCTATAGTGATATACAGGAGCCACGCAGGAGTAGGTATAGTGATATACAGGAGACACACAGTGGTAGGTATAGTGATATACAGGAGACAAACAGGGGTAGTTAAAGTGATATACAGGAGCGTAGGTATAGTGATATACAGGAGACAAACAGGGGTAGGTATTATAGTGATATACGGTAGGTATATTGATATACAGGAGCCACGCAGGGGTAGGTATAGTGATATACAAGAGACACACAGGGGTAGGTATAATGATATACAGGAGACACACAGGGGTAGGTATTATAGGGATATACAGGAGCCACGCAGGTGTAGGTATATATATATAGTGATATACATGAGACACACAGGGGTAGGTATAGTGATATACAGGAGCCACACAGGGGTAGGTATAGTGATATACATGAGGCCCATAGGGTAGGTATAGTGATATACAGGAGACACGCAGGGGTAGGTATAGTGATATACAGGAGACAAACAGGGGTAGTTAAAGAGAAATACAGGAGCCACGCAGGGGTAGGTATAGTGATATACAAGAGACACACTGGGGTAGGTATAATGATATACAGGAGACACAGGGGTAGGTATTATAGTGATATACAGGAGCCACGCAGGTGTAGGTATATATATATTTAGTGATATACATGAGACACACAGGGGTAGGTATAGTGATATACAGGCGACACACAGGGGTAGGTATTATAGGGATATACAGGAGCCACGCAGGTGTAGGTATATATATATTTAGTGATATACATGAGACACACAGGGGTAGGTATAGTGATGTACAGGAGACACACAGGGGTAGGTATTATAGGTATATACAGGAGCCACGCAGGTGTAGGTATATATCTATATAGTGATATACATGAGACACACAGGGGTAGGTATAGTGATGTACAGGAGACACACAGGGGTAGGTATTATAGGTATATACAGGAGCCACGCAGGTGTAGGTATATATATATAGTGATATACATGAGACAAACAGGGGTAGGTATAGTGATATACAGGAGCCACGCAGGAGTAGGTTTAGTGATATACAGGAGACACACAGGGGTAGGTATAGTGATATACATGAGACACATAGGGTAGGTATAGTGATATACAGGAGACGCACAGGGGTAGGTATATATATATATAGTGATATACATGAGACACACAGGGGTAGGTATAGTGATATACAGGAGACACACAGGGGTAGGTATATATATATAGTGATATACATGAGACACATAGGGGTAGGTATAGTGATATACAGGAGACACATTGGAAGGTTTTAACAATTTAATTAGATTAGATTGTTCACTATTGGATTATTATATCATTCATAAAAGACATATGTTTTCTGATAACACAAGTTCAATTTATTTATAATGGTTTACTTTTATAATTCGTTGAAGATTTTGTTTATTACAACTTAGACAATTGAAAATAAATACTTGTACATTTCCTGTTACTGTTTATTTCATTTTGTGCAGATGAGGGCCCCGATTACTGTAATATGAAGCCACGCTACAGGAACAACCCAGAGAAATGTTACGACTACGATGAGAAGGTTTGTTCAGCAACAGGATAATAACAATCGTTGTCTTTTATTTTGTGGTAGAAATAACAGTGTTATTCAAGGACCATCACTGGACCTGTGCTACTAACATCTTTGTATGTAAGTTCTCCAGCATAACTCATCACTTGCTGGCATAGGTCTGTTATTACTTCAGGAACCTAACCCGGATCAGTACAGCGTTAAATCTGTAATTATGGTCCCGGATCAGTACAGCGTTAAATCTGTAATTAATCTGCAATTATGGTATAATATTTCCAGTTTAAATTACATTTCAAGGCCAATTTTATTGGTAATATTTCTTTACTGCATACTATTGAGATACTGGTCAGTCATACTATTGAGATACTGGTCAGTCATACTTACTGAGATACTGGTCAGTCATACTTACTGAGATACTGGTCAGTCATACTTACTGAGATACTGGTCAGTCATACTTACTGAGATACTGGTCAGTCATACTTACTGAGATACTGGTCAGTCATACTTACTGAGATACTGGTCAGTCATACTTACTGAGATACTGGTCAGTCATACTTACTGAGATACTGGTCAGTCATACTTACTGAGATACTGGTCAGTCATACTTACTGAGATACTGGTCAGTCATACTTACTGAGATACTGGTCAGTCATACTTACTGAGATACTGGTCAGTCATACTTACTGAGATACTGGTCAGTCATACTTACTGAGATACTGGTCAGTCATACTTACTGAGATACTGGTCAGTCATACTTACTGAGATACTGGTCAGTCATACTATTGAGATACTGGTCAGTCATACTTACTGAGATACTGGTCAGTCATACTTACTGAGATACTGGTCAGTCATCCTTACTGAGATACTGGTCAGTCATACTATTGAGATACTGGTCAGTCATACTTACTGATATATTGGTCAGTCGTACTATTGAGATACTGCACGGTCGGTCATACTATTGAGATACTGCACGGTCAGTCATACTATTGAGATACTGGTCAGTCATACTATTGAGATACTGGTCAGTTTTGAAGTCCACTAGTTATTAGGGGTCCCTTTACCACTGCCTAAAACTGTCAAAATGAATTCAAAACTATTATACCTGCATGGATACAGCTTTGATAATTTATTTCTGCAAATAAACTTGAACCCTGTAGAACTTTCTTGAAAAATAATGTAGAATAGATGGAATTATAAACAAAAAAGAAATCTACAACAGTGTTAGGAGTGTAAAAATAATGGTGGCAGACCAGGATATGAACTCTGGACCTCCAATCATGATTCATGACTCTTAACAATGACACCTACCCTTTACAAACTGAGGTACAATGATCAGTTGTAGCTCCTAGGCCCAATATTTAATTCCATTACAAAATTAAGGGGATCGTCCGATGTTACTCTTGTATGAAAAACTACCGTGGAATTCTCTTGTGTTTTGCCTGCAACGGGACAGGGATCCTGAAATGTATAAGTTCTTGTCTGATGCCGTAATTTAACTCCGTCTCCTACAGTGTTTCTGAATTATCATTACCTACTATTTACATTGTACAGGAGGATACAACCAAATGCAGCGGATCGTATTCACGCCCGGTGTCTGCTGCTGTCATCGCCATAGCAACGATAGCATCGCTTTTGTCTGCATTTTTGTTGACCGACAGATAATGCACACAGCAGATGGTGTAACATTGGTTTTAAATCAAGGACGCAAATTGAACTTCCCAAAGGATATTTATGTGGATATCTAGCCGGGACTCTTTACAATGACATCTAGCTACTTACTGTGGCGTCATAATGAATTCCTGTCCATGAATTCAGACCAAGAACTGTACACAGAGATGTGAACACGGTAACAACACTGAAATAGTGCTTGAAACATGCGATTCTCACAAAACAGGTGTGAAAATATGTGTTTGAGTGCTTCATATATAAACACGAGAGATCAAGGGATGAAACGCCGTAAGTGGTGGTCGATATAATCCTTCTCCAGAAGAAACAGTGTACTTGGTATACAAAAAGAATGTACTAAGTATGCTTTAACATTGTGGTTTCTAAAAGAAATCAATGTCTGTGCCAGATCTACCACTTGTAGGGTTGTGGTACCTGTATATTTTGGAGAGAAATCAACCTCAAGTTACGATAAACAGGAGTACATGTGTTTAGAGTGAAGTGTGCGGTAGTATAGTGTGCTAGGATAAGACTCTGTGATGGAGATATCAGCTACTGTACATGTGTTAATGTTGTGTATAAGAGTGCGACACCTATCATTCCAGTAAACCTTGTACAAGTTCCTGTAGGCCAAAGAGGCTGTTTGTGATTCCAGTCATCATACTTTCCCGTATACTCTCAATATGTCATTCCAGAACATCACACTTTTTATTTTCCGAAATCAAAGCCCATTCTTTCACTTGCTATTCACATAAAGAAGATTTACTTTTATGCAGAGTGATTGAACATGATTTAATTAATTCATTCACCCCTACATTTTTAAAATGGACTTGCCCAGCCTTTGATTTGGTAAGGTTCAAATTTGACCTGAGGGGGTGGAAAGTTCATCAGATCGTACCTCAGGGTAACCATACCCTGACACCATCCTTAACAAGCTATACCTATAAACGTGGCAGTCTCTTTTAGTGATCTTCGTTATCTCGGACAGTGATTGAAATTGAATTACCGATATTTTAAAAATTGATACAATCACATAACAGAAAGTTATAACGAGTTAGCTTTTACTAGACTATTGCTAAAATGTGCAACATTGTGACCCATTATGGTTGCGAGCTGATGGTCAAATTTTGTACTTGGAGTTTAACATGTTTTTGAACTGTAATTGTGATACATATGACACATAGCAAGATGATGTACCTCTGTAACCAAAACACCACTATACCAAGTGTTCAATGTTCACACGTAGGTAACAAGAAATAGAGTGGATTACCCACAATGCTTGGTTACACCCATTAGCAGGTTGTGTGTTAATGTCAAGGGTAGGCATATCTGATTGTTATTTGATGTAGAGAGTCTGCGGGAGAAAAATCGTCCTTACTGTGTGGTGTGTGGGTACAACATCCAGAGTGTTGATGGCAGGGGAGGAATTAGAGGCTCTGTGTGATGTTCATACAGGATCTGGAGTCTGTGGGAAATGAACCATCAGTTTTGTGTGAAGTTTTATGAGAATTGAAATGTGGCCAGTTAACGAATCGAGGATCTGGAGTCTTAAGTAGACTGGCTGTCAGTACTGTGTGATTTTTATACAGGATCAGGAGTGTGTCTGGGTGAGGAGTGACAAGTACTGTGTGATGTTAAACAGCATCCGGAGTGTGTCTGGGTGAGGAGTGACAAGTACTGTGTGATGTTTATACTGGATCAGGAGTGTGTCTGGGTGAGGAGTGACAAGTACTGTGTGATGCTTATACAGGATCAGGAGTGAGTCTGGGTGAGGAGTGACAAGTACTGTGTGATGTTTATACAGCATCAGGAGTGTGTCTGGGTGAGGAGTGACAAGTACTGTGTGATGTTATACAGCATCCGGAGTGTCTGAGACAGACAAATCATCGCCACTGTATATTGAGTTATAAGTTATGCAAGGATATTGTGAGAATGTATTACTTTGTTTGTTTTTTAATCTTACTTTCATGAGGTTCACCGCTACTAAAAAGCAATTACCATTTTTTTTTTACATGTATGTGTACATGTATTTTTATTGTTTGTACCCAGTAAAAAAACACATTGTGAAAACCAAGTTAATAATACTGATCTACGCAAAATATTGGTGGGTTTTTAAGATTCTTTTTTGTGTGTGTTTGATATAGGTGTATTATATTACACAATAAGATTGGTGGCCATAGTGAAAGTGAAGTGTGATGTATCGAAGCTGCTGTCAGTTACTGGTACATGGACAGTACCTCAGTTGTTCTTTTAAACACTTAAATAATAATGTCAGATAAGCTGTGCAATTAGTATAATCATATACAAAATATGTAATTGTATAATAAGTCGTCAGCGATTGATTGTTATGTATTTGTTTGTTACTTTAAAAACATTTTATCGACTAAATTATTTCAATGTTTTATAGTAAATGTATTTGTGATGAAGCTTTAAGTTTCAGAAGTTATATATATATCTGAAGTATTTATAAATAAGAGGAAGAGGTTTTGTTACATATATGATGATAAAATTGCCAGTTTCCTTTCGCGGTTTGTCTTTGTTTTTGTAAATTAATATATAAAGCCACATATTATACTACCCACTGGATAGAGGTTGTTTGTATCTGATATAAGATTATTTATATGATGTATATAGGACATTATCGTGTATTTATAAGTTTTAAGGCGAGATGAATGTTGAGATTATTGGTTGGTTGATTTTACTGATTGGTTTTGTTTTTTAGATGATCACCCTGGTGTGATTCTAAACTTACTGTAACATGAATCTCCTTGCCATTAGTTCCCCCCTTATTAATAAACAGGTAAAATATTTGTTTGGACATGGTAAACACATATTAAAGATGGACAAGAATTGATGAAACATTTGAAAGAGACACAAGAATTCAATTGATGAAACTTATGAAAGATACACGAGAATTAATGACATGTTAGAAATATACACAAAAACCAATGACACATATAAAGGGTACACCAGAATACAGGAATTGATAATGGTCAGGTTATTCATTATTACTAGATGAATTTTAATAAAAATAAAATAATGGTACCATAATTGGCCCAAGGGTCCCATCCTGCCTTCACCCTGCCCTTAGGAATTAGTCAATAGTCCCTGGGTGGAATTGTCAAATTTGTTCAAAACATTGAATATGAAAATATCATTAAAAGTAACCTCATTGAATATCTGTTCCACTGGCATCAGACTTTCCTTTTTTTTTTTTATTTGTCCATATGCATTTATATTACTTAAATACGTCGGAGCATGTCGGGATGCCTCTATTATCGATAATGTAAAATTGTACCAAAGTCGAGGCATATTCTCTGATTCACATAATGGAAGGTTTCGGTGTACTTTCGGTGATATAAGACTGTGCCAGGGTTCCTCAGACTCGCATTGAAGATTGAAGGTTTGAGGTGCCATTGTCCACTCTGTTCTCCTTTACTTGTTTGTTTTTCCAATGTTGCTAGGACCAATTGCCCAAATTATCCATCATGTATCAGCCATGATGGTTTTTAGTTTGATATCTACAAACATACATGAAATATGATATTTTTATCGTGTAATTGTTGTAGTGTGTGGGTTGGGTTTCCTCCTTTTGTCTTTTCTTTATAGCCACAAGTTTATCACACAACACTGTCAGCACACACATTTTGGGCTAGGTTTTGGTGCTATTTAATTTACATGCATCCTCTAAAGTTATATACAGTCAATACAAATGTATATACATCTCAATTTTGGACAAGGTATATTTGAAAATACAGTCTTTGATAATAGAGCTGGAAGTTTCTTTTTTTACTATTTGGAAAGCTTTAACTTAAGAGTGAAAGACTTTTTCAGTCCTATTTTTCTATTTTCAAAGCAAATTTTGTAACTATTTTTAAAATGTTCGAAATTTTTGTATTTTTCTGACAAAATCCCTGTATATTGCTTTATTTAACATCGTCATCATCATTTGTGTAGAGGTAGCTTTAAACATCATGTTTACTTTTAAATAATAGGCCTGTCATGTGATTAGAAGTGGGAATCATGTATACTTTTAAATAATAGGCCTGTCATGTGATTAGAAATGGGAATCATGTATACTTTTAAATGATAGGCCTGTCATGTGATTAGAAATGGGAATCATGTATACTTTTAAATGATAGGCCTGTCATGTGATTAGAAATGGGAATCATGTATACTTTTAAATGATAGGCCTGTCATGTGATTAGAAATGGGAATCATGTATACTTTTAAATGATACAGTACATATATATATAGGAATCGGTGTTTGTTTTTTCTTCTTATATTTGACTAGTAATTTGACAGACTTTTAAAGAAAGATATATGATTGTTAATTTGATGCCAAAGCTTGTGTTTTATTCAACAGGAAGTTAAACTTGCCTCCGTGCTGTAACTTGAATTTGTTTTGTCTTTCTTATAAAGTGTAAATACTTGGTGTGTGGTGACTTTCTACAGAGTTGACGGTGTGTTTGAGATGTTGTGTTGGTTAAATGAGGCTTTAGTGTAATGTCTGTAATATTTCAGTGATCTCAAACTCAACAGGTGACAGTTATACACCATTACTACCACTTAAAAACCACAAATTGAGTAGAGTTGAGATTAAATTGGATTAATTAATTTTCATTAATCCCTCGTCTAGCATACAGTCGTACAGATGTCTCACAGTTTACCAGTCAGACATCCATATCATCATATCTACTAGTACATATGTAATACACAGAGTAATAACTGAGTTGACTTGATTTACACACATGTATACAAACAACATCAACTATGACATTAGTTTAGATGTGTGTTGGTATAAATAGCAGTTGCTTTCTGTATCCACAGTTTATATATAGTATACATACAAACTCAAAAGTAGAATACTGCCAAATGTGTTGATGTCTAATAACACGGTTTATAATAGGAATAGATAAAAGTTACTTTAATGTGTGTTTTTTTTTTTTTTTTAAATGTGTTGAGTTAAAATACATGCAGTACAGCGTTAAACCCAATCATTCAGTTCCATGGGAATAGGTTTTCGAGGGTTGATTTGTACAAACTAAAACATTCATGTACATGCAGAGTCTAGGTGAAAAACAAAACAGTTCATGCACTGTTAACAATGACTCGATGTCGTAGAAATGTATCTGCAGTTGAAGTATTAAAACTGAAGAAAAAATATTCTCCAGACCATCGAATTAGATGCTATCTAATAATATAAGTCCATGTCCAGACAAAAGCAATATGTTCGAAATTTCGAAATGGAAGAGTTTTTGAAAGTCAACAACTTTTAAAAAGCAAAATTTGAAAACTAGCGTTTTATATGGCTTTGTTGCCTTTGAATCATGTCAGGTCTATGCAATCTTTACATAGACCTATTATCCCACTTTATGAGTAATTACGATGTGGTGTTCTCCTTTAGGAGTAGACAATCGATCAGTACTATCAGTGTAGTCAGACTGCCCTATCAGCATAATATATCTTTAACAATTATTGTGAATATTTTTTCTTGGAAAATTCAGGAAGCATCATTGTAAAGGAGCATGAAGAAGATGAAACAATAATTTGAATGACCTTTTGTGTTGTTTTGTTGCTGTGGTAACCACCGAGTTATCAGTGATTGAGCAGTGATGTATGTGACTTGGGTGTAATCTACATTCCCGTATCCAGGTGTCAAATCTATCCTCACTTTCTCATGGCTTTCCTCATATTTTAGCTGTACAAGTACATCCCCATCTTTATGATAGAGATTAATCAATCCTCTATCATTACAAGGATAGGACTGGAATATCTATCATTTGTACATATATATGTTCATGATATTGTTTACTACGGTTTTTCTTCAAATTCTTTAGTAAAGGTATTTTTTACGGTAAATTTCTTTGGCACATGTTATCTGTAAATTACATAGTTAAGTAATTAATAAATATGATAACAGTGATACAGACTAGTCTAATCGGCTGAAAAGTCAACTATTAATTCAATTTTGTCAAATGTCAGAAACATTTTGTATTTACACCGTAGTACTTGCAATATTCTCTCGTGATATTTATTTTACATTTTGTTTAATCAATGACATATAGAATATACATTTTCTGTTAACAATCCTTACACTTGTAAAGTTAAATGCATAATAAAAAGGAATACATGTATGTATCTATATATAAATGTATTTACGTGCTAATGTATACATGATTGTTCCATAGTATCTCACCATAGTAACAGTGTATATATATGTAGGTTTTATTAACAAGTTCTTTTGACATGTTGGTACATTTCCTTATAATCAAAATTGTTTCTTTTTTGTCTTGGTTGATCATTGGATTGTCATCCAATGTTATTTGTTATCGATTTCATCGAAGAAACAAGTAATGGGTGTTTGAATGGTTTTGGAGTAAAATGGAACATTTTATATAAAAACAAGTTTCTATAAAAAAAACTTGTAGCTATCCATGTTTTTGTGAAGTTCCCTATTTTTGTAAATGTAGATTTTACTAATATTATTTTGTAGATCAGTTCGCAATATAGTTTTTTTCTGTTGTTTTGACAATAAATGTAGTTGCTAGGATACCAAATGATGCAATATTCCAGCAAGGAAAACCTCGTGCTTCAGAATATTTTTGTCATATTAGAAAATATCCGGGACATTTCCTCTGGTCAGTCCTTTATCAGAGGTCACTTATTCTAAACTTTACTATGTATTGACGACGAGTAACTCATCAGGCTACAAATATTGGAAATGTTTTAAAAATTCAGACATTTATGTGACTAGTTGATACACTTTTTAACATGTAAACCGGGTTGTAGTACTAATGAAGAAGTTGTGTTTCCCGTGTCGTGTGTACCCAGGCTTTATAATTTACAGTCTAGTCATTACAGATGGAATGTTCAGTTGTAAGTGGTGGTGATGGTTTTGTTACCCTATCCTGGAATATAATAAAGACAAATTACACTAGTAACATATGTTTTCTCTTGTCTATCAAACAATGCTCCAAGAGCATACGTACATCAGTCCTACTAAACTCTTGTTTATATTATAGAGTTCGTATTTGGACAGTATAGCTTGCTGGCATGGCATGTTACAAATTGTGAACATAAATGACCTTGAAAAATAGTCAAGGTCACAAGAGTAAAATTTATTCAAAATATTCCAAATTTGAAAAAGATCCTTTCAATACTTCAAGGGAATTAATAGTAATAATCTTTAATCGAAATCAAAGATGGCAATCTGGAAAACCGTCTTGTTCTTGAGATCAGTGACATCCCCAAATCGAACATAAACAACTTAGAGAAACAAACTTCTGAAATTTGAGAATTATCCCTGCAGTACTTTCCAAGAAATCGCAGTTCTTGTGACCAAATGAAAAGTCAATGGACCATGAAATGTAGGCCGCATCTAGCATTTAATGCATGGGTTGAGATGTATTACCTAAGATGCATCTATGGTCCAAGTTTGGTTGGTCTAGCACTTCTACTTTCAGTGAAACTAAGTTAAAAGTAAAAACTTAATGTTGACGCCGTCGCCCGAAAAGCAACGGTACACCAATAATCGCGCTTTGGCTTCTTCGTTGCAGCGAGACAAAAAAATGTTTAAGAACGAACAGACCTTGGACGAAAGAAGATTTGAACAGCCTACCATCTGATGACTGTGGGCCAAAATAATTGGCATAGACGATGACATCTGATCAGGTCTAGAAATCATCAGGGAACACCAATCTGATTTCATCATAGTTGTCTTTAATCTTCACTTTTATAACAGGTACATAGAATATGTATATAAACAATGTAGTAATTTTGCACAAAAAAGTATTCCAATATGTTTGGTATGGAACCAAACATGATACCTTACCATCCTTCTCTTTCTTACAAAACATCTTCACTATCGGGATTTCCTCCAACTTTTACATATTTCTTAATAAGACCTAATCAACCCCTCTAATGAGTAGTTGTAGAATCTGTTTCTCACTGACCTGGATGTGACTAATTGGATTATGCACAGGTCAGCCAACACCACCACTTATTTACAAAATGGTCATCTCCTAACAATACTTTGCTATAGAGAACACTCAATGTGAAAGCAAATGTTAAATCATGATTATTTGAAATTAAGTACATGTATAATGAAATAAGTTACTTAAAATGTTCCCTATCCAAAGCATGTTGAATTTATCTGCACATTTTATTTTGAATACATCATTCTGTATCTTATCATATGTCAATTACAAAAATTCAAAACACTCATGCACCTACATTTAAGAGACTTGAACAGTTTCAAAAAGCCATGCAAAAATGTACCTAGGAATTTTTTTAAGGATGCCTTTACCAACATTTTGATAAATGGTAATCTTGAGATATTGACAAACTCCACCTTACTGATCATAGGGTTAGCATTACCATGGACGCATTGCATGCTCCTCATGCGATTATTGTTAGTGATAAGCGGAATGTACTGCTGTACCTAACAGTCCATTTCACAGGGTAGAGTAAGTAGATCAAACATCCGTAGCAATGTACAGCTCATAGAGCAGAATCATCATACATGTATATAGCAGTGAGCAGGTAACTTTGATCAGTAGATTGTTGATCTCTTATGAAACCCAACCACCCTGTCATAAGCAGTCAAAACTGGAATATTTCTGCTGATAGCTAATTAACTAAATCATGTTTACAACAATGAATTTGTACAGAAAACCAGGGAACTTTCCCAATTTATCTCTACCATTGATTTGACTTGTCAGGATCTCTGAATTCCAATTGAATAAATTATGATGATACTTGGTCACAATTACCCAAGATAATGGAACACTGGCCCCTGTCTTTAGAATGTTGAATTATTTGCAAAAAAATAATTTCTAGAAACTAATGGGAGATAAGCTAGTAGTAAAATGCAGCTGGGAAAGTCTTCATACAAAACTTAGGGCTACTAGCCAATCTAAGGCAAAGGTTAAGAACACAAAGCTAAGTTGGAAGTTGGAACAACGCCATCAGACAGGCATATATTGTTCTCTTCCTGTGGAATTCTGATGATCTTTTTTTTTTATTAACAATTGTAGCGATATATAGGTATCTTGTGTATTTTTAGCAATAATGGCAACTGAAAATGTATCAAACAGCAGGTACTGAATTTGAATTTACGCATGCATGTTTATTTTACGACATTGGTGAATATAATCATATATGATGTCCCATTAAAGATTAAAATATGCATAATTTGCCTGAATGTATTTCTATAGACTTTGTCTAAAAGAAATGCATGTTTTTTGTCGGGGGAGATAGCTCAAGCTATACTGTTTTTATGACATTGACAGATATCTTTATTCATAGAATGTCTGAAGTTTCTTCAGCCCATTTTCATCCTGAATGCAATTGATCCAAGTTCAGTCAAGTCATAAATTTGTATAACATTTCAATAGATGGAACTATCTGATGTGCAGCAGGCCAAGTTTACGGTGGTTTGAAGTCAATGCCAGTGACTTGCGATATTACAACTTTTCACAGTGTGCCATAGGTTCGCATCCTGTTCTGCAAATCACATATTACCACCCAACCTTCTCCTAAAATAATCCCTACCTCTTCATTATATTCAGGATAAAAAAGGAATAAAAATTAAGGGGAGATAATTCCAGCGTTACATAAAACAAGGCCTGCAAGTTTGGTTGTATTTGATGTTGGGTTGTCTCCCTTTGACAAAATGCACAATTCAATGATATGATCAGTACAGGCATATTATTATTTGATAGTGTTATATGCATATATTTGAAGTACTGGTATGATATGTAAATAGGATGATTTATCCATGCCCGATTAAATTAAAATGAATACGATGCTATAATGTTACTGTAACTGATGAATAGCATTGAAACATAATACAGTAATAAAAACAAAAGATATACTGTAGATACATGTACAAGGCAGGGTAGTGGAACCATCAAATTTCAATCAAATACAAAACATTCAGTATAGATATGACAGTATAATGGTCATGAACGAGCTCTGTGCTGAGATTTTCAGGTACACATTAGCACATGATGAACAAGCTGTCTTCCTGACAGAAATTCCATGCTATCAGGGACTTATATACAAAATTGATAAAATATGTAAGTAAATCAATGCTATATCTTACGACTGATATAATGATCAATGCTACATCTTACGTGTGATATAATGATGAACAGTTTTATAAGCTGGCTCTATTGCAAGTATTACATAGAATAAGCTGATACATTCTGTACAAAAAAAGCTTTCTGCTTCCCATGAAATCATTAAAAAAGTATAAAATATTCAAATTGTGTGATGCACTAATTTGTAAATCTTACTTTATCCACTAATTTCTTAAAGATACCAGGTATGTACATCTTGCATACATTTTCAGTACTTAAGGATCCCTGTCCCACTGACCGGCCCCTTTTCCTGTATACAATTACCTCCCCTTAACTTCCTTTGGATATAACTGCAGCATATTTGGGCCAGTATACTTCCCTTGACCAGGTAGTGTCAGTCAGTTACAGCACTAGTATAACAATCTCAAAGTCCTGGGTTCGAATCCCGGTCTAACACCCCTGGATTTTTGACACTCATAACTCTCTTGTTGATAATTTGTTCATTTCATATTTATTATTTTTCATAAAAGTCCCGCAAGATATGGTTTCTTTTCAGAAATGATCTATCAACGCTATAGACACGCCAGAAAAAAACCCAGTTTCCATTGCAGCCATAGTCACAGTTTTAGCAGTGGCGTGGGAATCCTTAACATTGTAATTGAATTAAATACAATCAATGTGTGACGATTTCTTTTACAACCCCATAGAATCAACACAAGATAGAAGGGTTTACATCATTTCCCAATCTTTTCACAACTGTGTCTCCAAGTACCGTAACACGAGACCATCTACAACCTGAAATCTAGAAAATCTAGGAAGATTTAACACAGCTATGCATACATTACACAGGTAACCTTCATATATTATATAAAGTGAACTCTGGTTCCACGATCAATCTGTATAAAATCAGACCTAAGGTTTTTATATTAAGAGATAATAACCTCGATCTACTACCCCAAAGTTATACATATGGAGCAAATGTGACCCCAGTGTAATATAGCAAGTGTGGATGACCCCAATCTTGGACCCCTACAGTCCGGGTAAATTTAGGCCGGACTAGATGTGAACCATTTTGTTGATATTTAGGAGCAATATATAAGTACTAGAATAACATATCAAAACACTGAAATATTGAGGAAACATTAAAAAAAAATGTTGAATGCACAAAAATGACACATTAATTCTATATAAAATAATTTCACATATTTCAAGAGTTGTAACACATTAATATGATTATTACTTGTTCCCATTACAAGTTTCCTAACCTGTCTAAATAACTCATTATTTTACAACATTTTTGCAATTGTTTTATACTTTGTAAAACAGAAATAGTTTGCTCCATGATTAAACCTCATCACAATCAGGTAGAAAACACAACTACTGTAGCTTTTCTAGATAACTTGAACAAAAAAACAATCAAATAAAAACTCTTTATGGTCGCTTACCCTTTCATCCCTAAGTAACTTTTAAAGTAGATTTCGCCATACATTTATCTGGATGAGTTCATTATGATCTACAGAAGTGAAAGGGTTAGCTGTAATAGAACTTGCTCCAGTAGAGTCCAGTATAGAAAAACCTGCATTAATACATCATTTCTACAACCCTTGTGTTGATCTACAGGTACTGTAATTGACATAGTAAGCACCCTACCCTTCATAGGTGTCCCCTCTCCTTTCTCTGATGAAGTGTCTAGAGTGCTTATTAGGTCAAATACAGCACCTGTGATAAGTCACCACACACCTCGATTATTTACTCAGGCAGATTAAGATTATCATATAATATACAAAGCATACTAATCCAAAGGCAATATACATACAATATTCAGGTAATATCAAAAGTAAAAATAATGGCAGCTGAATGTACTATCTTCAAACAATATTGATCACAGAAATACATCCATTTCTGTAAAATAGATTATGCATATATGAAAGCCACTGTATGGGGGCCCTCCAATGCCTCTACTTTTTACATGAATCATTCCTGGGATACCTTGGTTATCAGTCCATCCTGTGGATCTGACTTGTCTGGGTGTGTACTTCACCCACATACCATGTGGATCTTACATTCATACCTATCATATGTAAATATAATAACACAGGAATGATCCAATTGTAATAAAAGTATTTATATCAGAAATGCAGTTTTATCAAGGAAAATAATATCCTACATAGATAATTTAAAACACCTTTAAACAAACAAGCGGCATATAGAAGGCCTGTATTACTCATCTGAATATAGCAAAACCTTCTCATTACATTTGGGGCTCCATCTCTCTAGACCGAATGATGCTGTGAAGTAAATCTGGGTGAGATCTGTATGAATGTGTTAAACTACATTAATAGGGTTGGTGATATAAATTGATTCCATATAATGACTCGGGAATAAGCCCCAAGGAGCAGGGCTACATTCTGGGGCTAATCTTTCAACAAGTAAACGTATGGTTTCCTGGTATATCTTGAGGATCTCAATAATTTCCGAGTTACTATGCAAAGACTAAGAAAAGTATTTGCACTACTGTCTACATGACATATCCAAATATCAAGGCTCTAACCCTTACTATAATGTTGCTTGGATTGTTTTACCATATTTGACCCATGCGACTTATAAAGTAGGTCAAGGTCATTCATATGAGTAAATTTCATGGCACTCTACCAAAGTTACTTACTCGCCAAATATCAGGACCCTGGGCTTTATGCAATTCAATAAGATTCTTCATTTCACACATTATGGCCCTTTGATCCTAGCAAGCATTCAAAGTTGGCATTTGACCTGAATATTATATGTTAGAAAAATATTAATTTTATGATTCTTTTGATGATGTTGCTTTAAGATTTTAACACATTTGACCCCTGTGACCTTAATAGTAGGTCAAGGTCATTTATATGCAAAAACGTTGCAGCACTCTATCCCAGGAACCTACTGTTTCAATATTAGGACCCTGGCTTTTTCAGTTTTCAAGAAGAAGCCATTCAAAGAACAAAATGGACAAAAAGTACAGACGGATGACTGACCATGTATACTGCACCATACCATAAGCTTATTATCACTTTTTTTTCCATTTCATTTTGTACCATAGCATTTCACCATTGGCTTTGATACATGGTGTAGTAGGAAGCTGGCTCTGTTTTTTTCTGATCAAACCTACATTGAGACTGATAAGTGTAGAATGTATAAGAAGCCAGGCAGGAAGGTTTACTGGGCACCGAGCACATCAAGGTCCGTGTCTATCTGGCAAGTGTGCATCCACCGGATAAGAAGACATCAGGTCTTCCGCTACTGAGGACCTGCCAGGAAACCTGTGTCATAACTTGCGTGCCACGGTTACACCAGCATCACATCTCTGAGTCTTCATGGCACTGTCTAACAGTTCCCATGTCCCTGTGGTCGGGTCGTAACTCTCTACAGTATTCAACAGGGTGTTGCCGTCATAGCTGACCAAAAATGAAACATAATTTGTTTAAAAACCTCAGACTGAAACATTTTAATATTTTACTAGAGCTTTAGATACTTTTTCTTTTTTGTGTACATGTAAGATCCACAAACAAACAATGCAGCTGAATTCCAAAAATGTGAAAATAAAAGTCTCAAAATAAATCTGTTTTATATCTAGTATAGAATGACTGTGTCTTTATATAATTTATTTAAATCAGCATTCATTGTTAGCTTTTTATAAGTCAGTTGGTGTATGAATAATCAACTTACCCCGCTACAACAAACAGCTTCCCTTGTAGTACACAAGCACCCACATAGCACCGAGGTACAATCATGTGTGTGACCGCTGACCAGTGGCCAGTGTGGATGTTGTAGCTCTCGACACTGGCCAGGTGGTCAGTTCCATCATAGCCTCCACAAACATACACAATATCATTGACCACTGCTACTCCAGCACCTGTACCAGAGAACACACAGTCAACTCAACAATCAGGTAATCAAATATAGTCTTTAGTTGCATTCATACAGATGGATTGCTATGATGATCATTTTTTATCACAAAATATCTTCTATCAAAGCCTATGTACCAAATTCTGCAAATTCCATTAATTCGATCAGTAAACTATTTCTCACTTATTTTGATTGTCTGCAAAATGTTGAACTGGAGTGATTATCAAGCATGTATTTCTGATGATTTCTCTCCTACATACATTGTAGNTGGGGGGGGGGGGGGGGGGGGGGGGATCTCCTTCATTCCATATATTCAATGAGGGAGAAAGTGAGTGAAATGCGACTGAAACTTCTTTGCTCAATTTATCTTTCCCTTCAAAAGTATCAAAATAACTCCAAAAAGCGTTCATTTGATTCAGACACACCTGCTTTGATCATTACACACACCCTGCAGTTACTAGGAGATGATTTGACCATAGTTTCGAAATGAGAGAGTCTCCCTCCTAATGAGGGAGGGTTGACAGGTATGCTCCTATGCCAAAAGATTTGTTAAACCATCAGACCAACCTGATCGTCTGGTGGACATTGGTGCAATGTCGGACCATTCCTCCTTAACAGGATCGTAAACCTCTGCCGAGTCCAGCAGGTTGACTCCATCGTAACCTCCGATTCCGTAGATCTTTTCTCCTGCCACAACTAGGCCTGCCCCTTCCCGTCCGACAGCCATGCCGCTGAGGATGTGCCACTGGTTAGTGTGGGGATTGTAACACTCCATACTCGTGTGACGTGTAAACCCATCAAACCCGCCACAAACATAGATCTCGCCTGAAATGTATCAGAAAATATCAGTTTGAATTTAACCACACACATGTACACTTTTGTTTGAGGAACAACACCACAAAAGTTAGACTCTGTAAAACTTTTAAAGTGTTATGAAGTAAATTTTTTCAACCCCATACTTGGATCGTATATAGGTTTACCAACTGGACAGAATCAAAATGGACAAAGCTGGAAGATAAACAGTACATGTATCTAGACAAGAGTTAGACACCAAACCATCTAGTAATTCATGTAAGTAGAAGTTTCACCTTCGAGAGCGCAGATGTTAAAACCCAGTAGGAAAATCCAGGAAAACAATCACATCTGATCTATGTTTCTGACATCACTTTACATGAGGTTCTGTCTTAGAATACTGTGATTATCTTTCTTAATCCAGCCGACACTAATCCTGTTGTCCTTTATATATCCAGCCAGTGTTTTTGGGCACAGATTGTCTATATAAAATTGTTTGTACAGTCCGGTCACTTTTGCTGGTATTCATCCAAATGAAGCCAGAATGTGTATGTGTCAATGAAGTTTAGCTAGCAGGAGTTTGGGATCAGATTTAGTATTACTTAATGACTGCTATCCATTGCTGCAATATGATAACAATATATTAACACCCACCTTTGTACACACAGACCCCTGCTAGTCCCCTCCTGTGAGACATTGGGGCGATAGTCTGCCATGTTGGGTCGTCTGCCGATATATCTAGACACTCGACCGTGTTGAGACGTGACTGGCCATCGTAGCCGCCGATGACATATACCTTCCCTGCTAAAGCGGCGGCGGCTACATATCTCCGTCTCTTTGGCAAGTTCTATACAAATAGGATAAAAGATGAAAATCAGAAACATGTACAATGGAGACTGGAGAATTCAGCAAGGTAGAATGTGATCATAGTTAAATCATGATATATATTTTCTGTGTGTTTTATGTGTTATTGCTGTTGATTTTGATGTTATAGAGCAGTGCATGATAAAAAGGTTACCATATGACCATTTCGATATCCTATAGTCTGTATCAGCCCAAGGGGTCATAGGGCTGATATGGGAGTCTCGGGCTGATACAGAGTAGGATATGGAAATGGTCATACTGTAACCTCTAAATATGACATTCCGACTGGACTTACAGACTAAACAGTCAGGAGAAACTTCTGACTTGGGGTATTATCTGATATCCTGACCTAGGATATGGATTTGCCAGTCATGAGAGAAATACCATTGATTATAAAATTTAAAAAAATGTTTTCATAAATTTGATGCAGCTGATCATTTTTATGCTATTTTGGGTGATGTTAACAATTACGTTAAAACCTTGTTCAGAAACAAGACTTAAGTTGTTGGTCAAGTCTGGAGCCATAGTGTAGTTCACAGGGACTCAACGATGCTCTAAAATTCAATTGTGATTGATTGATTAGGTGCCTTACCGGGAGGCGCTTCCACTCGCCAGACTTAGGGTCATACTGCTCCACTACCTCCACCATGTTCTGGTGGGACCCAAACCCGCCCATCACCACCAGGATATCATCAGTACCTGTAATTCAAATTAATCAGAGTTGTGAGTTTATAAAGATCTTGATTTATCTGAGCTAGGAGCATTTTTTTCAATTTGAATCTGAGTTTGAATTATTGCCCTCTACATTAAGATGACCTGGAAAATGTATATTTATTACACACCTATTCTTGATTTCATTCGTGGTCCAACCATCGTGGACCGTAGGTCAGGTCGTAGGTGAAACTTCTTGGCCTCGTCTAGCAGATCCCTGCATTCATGGCTTCTCTTTATCAGTGGCTGGAAGTATTTAATGGTTCAATAAAGTAATACAAAAGTTATTATATAAGCCACATGTAAGTGACAGTATAAAAATCTAACCTATTATAGTAATGACCTTGAACTTAAGGCCTGAAAGAGGAACAAATGTATGCCTCGTCAAATAATCTCTGGTATATATGTCATTCTGAAAATTGGTGATGAGCTAGTGATTTAAAATTATGATATTGTTACACTGAAGTAAGAATCCATAAAATGCCACGTTTTTATTGTCTAATTTCAATAAGCAGTAACAATGTACATATGACCTTGACAAGAAATGAGGATTTTCTCCATAATATGTAAATGTGAACATCGAGAAAGGCTGAGGCATCCTTGTATTGACATACTGCCCAAACTAGCAGCTTAAGTCCCCAATCATCCAAAATAATGTCTCTTCAGGAAATGTATCCATACCTTGCCATTCACTTTGTGAGTGATACACAGAATCATGACCATGTAAGATGGTAACAGAATAACATTTTATGTGGCAGTACATCATCTAATGATAAAATAAACAGAACAGTATGGAACCAAACAGTCTTAGTTATTAAGTTAACAGTAATATGTCTTACTGAAGAATGAGCAAAAAACCTGTATACACACCTCATCATCAACAACATCAGTGATAAATCTGGCCGACAACATGGCTAGTCTCACATGCTGCAGAAGCTGGGCCAGATACTCCTTACGACTGTCAGGGTCGTATTTCACCCACGTCATCACAGCACTAAACACTGGCTCTTCAGAATTTACCTGAAACGTAACAGAAATGACCAATTTAATTTAATGGATACATTAGGTGACTTACCCTTTAATTATTGGACTACGATTTTGTAAATATTTGGTAATCCCCTTTTTATGGCCAATCTGCCTCACTATGAAGAGGTGCATGTCGTTATTATAACACAGCACTTGATGTTAATACATACTTAATAAATAAGAACAAGAGTTAATTTGAAGTATACGTGGCAGTATATTAGCTGGTGGAATACAGATAGCTCACCTGCATTGCATTATGCAATACTATACTATAATTTATCATTTTAATAGGTTGTCTTTTCTTGGATTTTAAAACATTGTTAGTTTTTAATCACACATGTAAAATGTGTTGTGATTTTACCTGTAGTTCGTCACTCTTGATCAGGGACTTGACTTGTTCCAGGGGAAGGTTTCTATATTCCTCCTGCACGAGAACCTCTTCAAAATGTTTGAGACCGAAGGACTCAGCAGCAGCGAGCAACAGGTCACAGGAATGTTGTTCAGCAAACACTTTAATTCCTAGGCAGTTAGTACAGTCAAGCTGCTTCTCCAGGAACGAACAGCACGCTTGTTTAACTCCTACGTATCACAAAAAAATACTTAACATTTAAATTGAGAAACTTTGAGTACTGGACTCTATTCTGTTCTAATATATTTTCAGCAGACTTTGGGAAAGTTTTCCACTTGCAAAACATTATTGCCTTATTTGCTTAAAAATACCAAACTGATTACAAAATGTAGTACATGTCACCTTCATGACAATGCACCCTGATTTAACTTAATAACCTTATAACAATCACAAATAAATATCAAATTGTTAATGAATGCATTATGCCGATAACAATATACCAATTTCTGATGCCTATAACAATATTTCTATCAATAAATTCCATTTCAAAATACTGATAAATATATTTCTTACATGATTTCCAAGTCATAACCATTGTATGATGTCTGGTCAACAACACATTAATGAAAGTCACATTCCATAATATACGACAGAACCAACATGGAATCTGTCCCTCTTCTGATTTTTAAGTTGCCCAACAAATGCATGTCCCCACTCAAGCTGTGATGGCCACATCTAACCCCAAGGAGGTGAAAGATTCTTTTAGTATATTCACTTATAATTTGTAGAAAACAGCCTTTTATGTATTTACTTGTATGCTGTAGGAAGCAATATTATATGTACCTACCTGTTTGTATGAAACACAGTTGTATTTACTTATCTGCAATTTGTAGAAGACAGCCTTATATGTACTTACCTGTAATTTGTAGAAGACAGCCTTTTACATGTATGTACTTACCTGTAATTTGTATAAGACACTGTTGTATTTACTTACCTGTAAGTTGTAGAAGACAGCCTTGTATGTACTTACCTGTAAGTTGTAGAAGACAGCCTTGTATGTACTCACCTGTAAGTTGTAGAAGACAGCCTTGTACATGCATGTACTTACCTGTAATTTGTATAAGACACTGTTGTATTTACTTAGCTGTGATTTGTACAAGACACTGTTGAATTTACTTACCTGTAAGTTGTAGAAGACAACCTTGTATGTACTTACCTGTAATTTGTAGAAGACAGCAGTGTATGTACTTACCTGCAATTTGTAGAAGACAGCCTTGTACATACATGTACTTACCTGTAATTTGTATAAGACACTGTTGTATTTACTTACCTGTAATTTGTACAAGACACCGTTGTATTTACTTACCTGTAAGTTGTAGAAGACAGCCTTGTACATGTATGTACTTACCTGTAAGTTTTAGACGACAGCCTTGTATGTATTTACCTGTAATTTGTATAAGACACTGTTGTATTTACTTACCTGTAATTTGTAGAAGACACTGTTGTATTTACTTACCTGTAATTTGTATAAGACACTGTTGTATTTACTTACCTGTAAGTTGTAGTAGACAGCCTTGTATGTACTTACCTGTAATTTGTATAAGACACTGTTGTATTTACTTACCTGTAATTTGTAGAAGACACTGTTGTATTTACTTACCTGTAAGTTGTAGAAGACAGGCCGCAGGCAGTAGTTCTTGGACATTTTCCACACTCACGTTGACAGTCTCTGTGTACACAAAGTCCAACAACACCTCCATCACACTACCAGAGATCTCATGTAGCTCAATGATCTGTTTGTCCTTCTCCGACATCTAAACAATCATATACAATATGTTTACAACAATAAATACCGTTGATACTATTAACTTTTTGTTATTCTGTTCAGTGAAGAACATCCATAATTATTAAAAACAAGTCTTGATAAAAAAAAATGGTGCCGTGTCTTCATCATTTGGCCATTACTACTACAACTGTCAGGAATTCCAGCCAATGTTTTTCTATAAACAACTGTCTCTGAGTCAGTATTACAGGAAATTTTACTATTGAGACCCTTTTAGCTGGGCTTTTCAGGTTTTTTCTATCAACCACCCCTCTTGAAAATAGGGAAAATATATTTGCTATTGGTAAACTTGCATGAAATGGGGAAAATGTTTTTCATTTTTTCCTTCTGTATATTAACATTTACACAAGTGAGTGCCACAAAATTTTAAACAAATAAACTTATAGTTGTTCTAAAGAAAATATCTTTATAAAGGTGTTCTCATTTTCAACATTTGCTAATAAAACAAACTTCGGAAATTTTCATGTAAAGGGAAAATATGGCAAAATTTTTCGAAGGGAATACAGTCTGATGAAGGTGGCAGAACATATATCGTTCCAGTCATCAAAACGTCACACATAAATATTCACTGGTTGTGCTGTATGAACCTGAGTACAATATTTACCAACACGAGGAAGAAAATGTATAGAAATAGGGAACAACCTATTATGGTCACCAAATCAGCTTGAATGCTATACATGTTCAAGCAGAAACAAAGTACTTAGATTTATATATGTGTTCTGTCAATATCATTAAAATCAGATGTTAATAAAAAATACCTACGGCTATTTTTCATGTGGTACTTGATAATGAACAGCTGTATTTATTCAGATTGGTGTTCTGTACATATACTCTGATAGGGTAAATAACATTCAGTACAGAAATTAAAACTATTTTCATTTAGTTTTATATGAAAAAGTAGTGTCCTATACATTAAATACAAGTAACTTTGTACCTCATTGGTAAACATAGCACAGAAGTAATCGCTACACGCCGCCAAAACGATGCGATGTCCAGGAAAGTCTCGACCCTCCACACGCAGAATGACATCACACAACTTGTTGACCTTGCGAAGGTTGTTCATGGTCGTAAGGATGGATTTAGCATGGCTGTCTGTGAAAATCTGTCGGTCCAACATGATGCTGTTAGGGTAAATATTACCACAGACAAGACCAACCTGGAGGGGAAATAACAAAATTCAAAATAATATATTATAAAGATAATACACCGCTTACTATCTGATCTGAAGTTGCCAAGACAAATGGCTACATATTTTATCTTAAAGATATCTTTAAGATATTTGAATTAAACGAAATATGCTTCAATTACATCAACGTCCATTGACTGCTAAACAAATAAGGTAAAGCCAAATAATTTTGGTAGGCAACCAAAATTGTTATGTTCATATTTAACATCTGTCCTCTAATAGTAACATGTCCTCTAATATATACATCTGTCCTCTAATATTTACATGTCCTCTAATATTTACATCTGTCCTCTGATATTAACATCTGTCCTCTAATAGTAACATCTGTCCTCTAATATTTACATCTGTCCTCTAATAGTAACATCTGTCCTCTATTATTTACATCTGTCCTCTATTATTTACATCTGTCCTCTAATATTTACATCTGTCCTCTAATATTTACATCGGTCCTCTATTATTTACATCTGTCCTCTAATATTACATTGGTCCTCTATTATTTACATCTGTCCTCCAATAGTAACATGTCCTTTTATAATTACACCTGCCCTTTAAAATTTACATCTGTCTCCAATAGTAACATCTGTCCTCTAATAGTAACATCTGTCCTTTAATAGTAACATCTGTCCTCTCATATATACATATGTCCTCTAATATTTACATCTGTCCTCTAATATTAACATCTGTCCTCTAATATTTACATCTGTCCTCTAATATTAACAAATACCTTCTAATATTTTCATTTCCCTCCAATATTTATACCTGGCCTCTAATATTTACATCTGTCCTCTATTATTTACATCTGTCTTCTAATATTTACTTGTCCTCTAATATTAACATCTGTCCTCTAATATTCACATCTGTCCTCTAATATTAACAAATACCCTCTAATATTTTCATTTGCCCTCTAATATTTATACCTGGCCTCTAATATTTACATCTGTCCTCTATTATTTAAATCTGTCCTCTAATAGTAACATCTGTCCTCCAACAGTAACATCTTTCCTATAATAGTAACATATGTCCTCTAATAGTAACATGTCTTTTAATAGTAACATATGTCCTCTAATAGTAACATGTCTTTTAATAGTAACATATGTCCTCTAATAGTAACATGTCTTTTAATAGTAACATCTGTCCTCTAATATTTACATCTAGCCATTTATATTAACATCTCAACTTGCATATCAAATTTAGAATCATTGCAAATCATTCATAATACAAAAAAAACGCCACACATTATATATAATAAATTACCGAAATGTTACCTATGCCTTTATTCTGGTTCTCTGTTTTATGTTTGATACCATGTACAAGTACACAGAGGCACATGCTGGACAAGTCATGCTTCAGCTGGCTGTCACATTTTCTATTTGACTGCAACAGTCCTATAAGATCTGAAATATCAAAATAACAACATTACATACAGGGCTTTCAGTAGATACTTGAAAGTACATTTTTGTCTCTCAAAATCTAGCTAGGATTCATGGGTTTGAAAGGACATGTCTATCTGATGGGATGTGTTAGGATCCGGGTCGTTTCGTCCAAAATCCAGAATATAATTATACAATTTAAAGTTATAAATATCAGTTGAAATTTCTTCAATGATTTTAAAAAGCTTACTTTTTTCATGTTTCACCACAGAACTAGATCTAAGTTCGTGGATTCACTAGCAAATGTCTTGTCGAAAGAATTTCATGCTAGAGTCTACAGTAGTGTATGTGCAGATCTGGTCTACCATGTAAAAATCTAACGAGCCTTATACAAAAAAAGCTAAGGGAGACCTAGAGTAACTTCAAGTTAGACTATGTTAGCCATTAACACAACTAAACAGCCATTTATACCCCCTCCCAGGACAAATTAAAATCACCCTTATTTTTTTAGGGCAAAACGACCCAGGGCGAACAGGATGTAGCTAGGGCGAAACGTTCTGACACCATGTGATTTGACTTCTGAAATGGTGAAATGTTATAGGCCAACTGAAAGACATGTGTGAAAGAAGAAATATTTTACTTACATTGCTGGTGGGTTTGCCTTTGATGTACAAAATAATCCCTAACTTACATCTGCATAGGAATGAAAGGTTGGTAAAAATAGTTAAAAACAATATGAATCTATAATATTTCTGACACCAATGCAGCCAGAATTTGTATGTTCTTGTTGAGTTCCTGAACTGTCGAAGCAATGCAACATGCCCGATCCACCCACAGGGGTTCATTACAAATGTCTGAAATCGCATATACTATATACTATAGAATCAGAGACGTACAATACATATTATACGTCTCTGATAGAATGAAGTATAGTATATATGAATGCTAGTCATTTCGGTAACAGGTCGTATCGGTAACAATTAGTCTTTTCGTGTGTCCCGAAGACGTTTTGGGACATAACACAGGATGTTTCGGGACTTAATCAAGTTGTTTCGGGACATATACAAATTTTCACTTATAAATTACATTTCCCTCCCGTTTCATATAAAGCCCTGTAAATACACAAATATGGTTTTAGACTATGACCTGTGTCACAACCTACCAGTCCTGTACTTGGGATCATTAGTGTTACCAGATTACTAGAGCTTGAGGGATACCTTTACCCGATTGACAGTGTGTTGTTACCTGGTGAAACTAATATCTGAAATTTAACATTCAATTTCTTTCGTTATCGATAGGTTCCTTGTTTCATATTGTAATAATATTATTTCAATTCATTCTATCCTCCATTATTGACATTAATAGACGAATGAGTTAACATTGATTTTAACAATGTTTTAAGCATTTTTTTGCTATATATATGAATTTTACGAAAGTAAAAACGTGAAATATGTAGATAACGTTTTAGACATGTGAATCAATTCATTAAAACCAGGAATATGTTTTGAACAATGTTTTTATGTTGTGTCTGTGAATATTATATATATTACTTCATGTAACAGTAAATGGATGACGCCAGAAGGCTATGACACATTGTAATAACTTTTACCCAATCCATTGTTCAAATTTATTTGTCGATAAAATATGTTTACAGAATAAAGACAATGGTATTTACAGAGAGGAAAACAATGAAAAATCCCGAAACGACTTTTGACATGTCCCAAAACGACCCGAAAAATGTCACGAACAACTTGTTACCGAAACGACCAGAGACCGTATACATGTATGTGTATTTCAGACATTTGTAACGAACCCCTGTGATCCACCCGTGACTCAAAGAGGTACGGTTTAATTTTTATCTGAGGCCCCCTTGTTTAAGGAGGCCTCATGATCAGATATAAATTGATAAATTGAACCATCATACCATGCCCCTGTGCGTGACTCAAGAATTTGGGGAACAGAGCTGAAATTGCAAGTCAAATATTGCTCAAAACATTACCCACAAGTCAAATACATACTAACCAATCACATACGATTTTTACATCGACAACTTAACTTTTAATTACCTATAATAAGTAATAGCACAGGAGGCAATATGCATGCGATTCCACCTGCAAATCTTCTTGTTGACGTTTTTGTGACAATCGGAAATGCAGCAGAGTTAGTAAAATTAAAGTAGGAAAAGTATCCGGAATCATAAATAGAAGAGCTCGATAATTAATTTCTTCATTAATATTGAAGTCATATTCATAATGTATTTAAAGAAAAAATTTAAATGATAAAAATCTGATAAAATCAGCATACATGACAACATTTTGTTAAAAATAAAGATTACTCTATCGTCTATCAATAGGGCCGGCCATGCATCTTTAATTTTGGAATTTCCATATGCATAGCATTTCGTAACGAATGTGAAAGAGCGAATGACCAACAGTCCTTCTGTTTGGACACATATATTGCTGGCGAGTTACATAGGACAATACACCATGCTTGAATGATAACCTACAAGTAAGTTACGGCGGATTGTTTCTTACGAAAATATGACAGACCAGAAGGAAGAAATTATTAATTTGCACTTCCAAGTCCTAGCTCTTAGGCTACACAGCTTTTATATTCAGCTCTCATTCCGATGATGACAGGATTCACATTGATGATTCTGTTTAAGCTTATCCAATTTTTGACTATCGTTACGTATAATATGAAATCGTAAGAAATGTGATTTGCCTTCTGTGTAATATTTATTCTATCTCTTAGGTTGAATTATCTCCCCTGTGTATATTTTAAGGCTACTTGTCCCATGTGTGTAGAAAAAAATATCATTCGATTCCGAATACGCGTGTAAGTTAACAGAATATTTTTATATTTGTATAATAGCTGAACTTTTCTCACATATGAAGTCAGTATATGATATTTATCTTGTGAAATATTTCTATCCGTGTATATTTACACCCACACCTCTGCCAATGGCTTAGTTCACATTGTTAGCCTCTGATCATATGTGACAGTATTCATCATGAGCAGTCAAACCGTACAATATAGTAGGGTAGGACAAGATCGACTTTTTATAATCAACCTCATGTACATCAATCTTTTCAAGTTTTGTAAGGGCCATCACACAAAAAGATTTTTTATTGTTTTCAAAAAACACTTAGACTTTTAAGTTATGTGGAAGAAATCTCTTACACTCATCATGGACTGAACATGTGCTTACAACTTGGTTTTTTAATGTTGTGTACATAGATAGTTTTGTGTTGAAAATTGTCTTAAATACAGTGACATAATATCTCGGAAAAACAATATATTATATATAAAGTTTTTAATTAATTGAATATGTAAAAAAAATCTGCAAGGTGTAAAACCCTTAGAAAAAATAAATCAAGCCTTTGCCTTGGTTCTTGGCATTTAGCCGTGGACAGAGATGTCAGTGAGTGTACAAAACAACTCTGGGTAGAGATTGGTGTAAAATTTACATATAAACGTGGCATAGTGCTAGTTGCCAACCTTATAATTTGTTTATTGATACAAAATCTAAAGATGTTTGAAAAGTTCTTGCAATTATCCATATTTGACAAAGTAATGTTTATTTCTGGTATGAAGGCAAATCAGTAATATGCCAACTTTGTCAAAGTGCAAGATTAGTAAAGTTTTAGTGGGACATTTGTTGCTACCGTAATACCCACTCATCAGATATGCAGTCGGGACCTGCACACCAGTGTTTTTGCATAATGTTGAAACAGCCTTCAGATATCAGTGTTCACCCGAAAGTACACATGCCCCCTATCAAGTGTCTTGACAATGACATATAAGAATGATTTTTCACCTAATTTCATTAAAAAAATATATATTTTTTCTCTGCTAATATCTGACATCATTTACTTGTTTGCCATAAAAGGCATTACAATTATACCAATAAACTAAATATCTAAATCAACTTTAGAAAACACAAATTAAGTATTGGTCATCATACAATTCCCCATTCCAAAGGAGGTAAAATTCCCCTAAATACTGAAGAAATCATTGCAATAGGTCTATAAACTTTTGTTCTATGCCTTGGTATTGATTTGAGTTAATTGTTATTAATGTGTTTTCATTTTTTTATATGTTTCAGATGCATCAATAGTTCTTATAATTTCGTGGATATGACACCCAGGATAAAGCTCTGAAATGGCTTCTGAACATAGCTATAACAAGATTGTATACACAGTCCATAGTCTGATAGAAAAGGGAGATTTGATCAAACTGAAAAAGTTATTACGGGACAAGACCTCGGAAGAAAAGAAAACTATTGTTAATGAAAAATTTAAAAACAATACTGCCCTCTTTAGTTCTTGTTTTCGAGGGAAACTTGACATAGTTCGTTACCTACTAGACAACTGTAAACCAGACTTGGAAGCCACTGGCACACACATAGTAGAGGAGGACGAACATTCTGAACATATCGTGCCACCAATATGGAGTGCTGCAATTTCTAATAAGTTAGATATTGCAAAAGCACTAATAGAGAAAGGGGCAAGTGTGCATGGATGTTCAGATACAAAGTCCACAGCTGTAAGAGCAGCTTGTTATAGCAATAATGTGGAAATGGTCAGATACCTTGTGGAACACGGAGCCGATGTCAACATCCCGAACAAAAATGGTGCAACATGTCTGATGAACGCAATAGAATGCAAGGAACTTTGCGAATTTCTCATTCAATCTGGTTCAAATGTAAATGCACAAGAAACGGGGAGAGATAGGTTGACTGCATTACATTATGCTGTTAACTACCAAAAGCTTGATACGATTAAAGTTTTATTACAGCATGGTGCCGATGTGAATTTGAAAACAATCGATGGGATATCACCTGTTCTATTGGCTGCCCTTCTTAATCTGGAAGTCATTACAACCTTTTTCACCAACAATGACGATCTGCCAATTCCCATTGAGGATAAGATAAATGCCACTGAACTGTTAGGTGCCAAAGCTGTGGACTATTCAGAATATAATGAGGCAAAGGAGTGGTGGAACCATGGCATACAGATGAGAGAACAACATCAGATACCAAAACAGTTACCGGACCGCAAGGCTATTTATGGGGATGCAAAGGAACCAGAAACAAGGTATGAACTGAGCCGTCACGAAACCACATCATTAAACATGTATCTACTTGCAGCTCTTGTAAAGGAGAGGATACTTGGACCCTTGAACCAGGATTCACTTCTTGGTGCTATTCAGTATGGCTGGGAACTCCGTGGGTCAGGGAAATTTCGAAAGGCACTGAACATAATCTTGTATTGCTACAATGGATACAGGGTAAAGGAGTGGTATTTACTGGACAACTGTCTTATTGCCATATCTCAGGTGCTGAATCTGACAGCTCTGATACTGAAGGAGGAGGAGAACGAAGCTAAAACAGATGAACACTTTAACAGCATGTCCGACTTTCTCCGTAAACTGGTAGACCATTTGATGAAGGCGACGCCAGTGCAGAAGGCGAAATCTTCCCTTCGGGACGAGAAACGTAACTACCAGCAGTTAATGCTGCTACTGTTGGATTGTGTTTCTCTGTTGATCCACGTTGTACCAGATGAGAACAGTTTCGAAGACATCAGTATTGTATTGAAAACAGTTCTGAAGTACGACCCTCGGGGTCTTCAGAGACAGACTTTGCTTCATATGGCTGTTGACACATCTACAACGAAGAGATTGTATGAATCAGGAGGACTGAGTGCAATCAGAGATGAAGCCGCCTTGGTCAGGACTCTGCTAGAATGTGGAGCGCAGGTCAACGCTGGGGATACAAATCAGAACTCGCCATTGTACTGCCATATCAAGGTCATTGGTGGCATCGGCGTGATACACCAACGGAACATCCTGGACCTGCTCCTAGAGCACGGCGCACACGTGGACATGTGTAATGACGTTGGAGAGACTCCTCTTGGCATTTCCAAACACAACTTTGTAACTCTTCATGAAGTCAAGCATACTAAACTCCAGTGCTTAGCGGCCAATATCATCAACAAATTTAACATTCCTTTCAGATTTGATATACCAGTTAATCTGATAAGATTTGTGGAGATGCACGGAGCACAGTCAAATATCAAACAAGTTCATATGTGATCAAAAAAAATAGTCTTGGTGAGAGGAATTGGAATGTTTAAAGGGGTTTTAGTTGCAAGTGTTGCATTGTTTTATCTTTGCTCATGTCTATCAGCTACTTGCCCTACGTTGGAATGCTAAAACAACGGATTATCTGCAAGATTTGAAGTGCAGAGTTACGATTCTGACCACATTTGTGCATTTAATTACACAAATGTAATCGTTCCGTAGACAGACAAAATTTACCATCAACATCTTGTAGTTAAAGCATGCTCTTAATATGTTTATTCGCCGCGAACTCTCTGAAAGTGTCGTCCAAAAATAGAGGCTCAGATTCCAATTTACTATCCTGAACGCCATCAATTAGTATGATGTCTTGGCGGGTGTAACACACTCTTGAGTACTTCCGTATGAAGCTGAACGTTATTTTTCAACTTACTAGTAATCTAACATTTTTTTTTGTATCATATTTCTTTTGTTTGTTCGGTATTTTTCTAGTCTCTTATACTTTGTATGCTTAAATCTCATCGATTTTATCAATTGTAGTCCTCGGTCGAGTTAAACGAATTACTCGAAAAAGTACACGTTTGCCATATAATACACTCTTGGCAATAAGGGAGTCTGGATCTATCAACACTATCGAGAGTACACCTGATTCTGTGTGCCAAATTGCATTAAAATTAGACGAAAAACGATTTGGAACATATTAAAAAAAGACAGTAGCATTGAATCCAATTGGAACTGACATAACACAAAAGACTGGTATCAAGTCACTCTACATGCAGATGCAATAGTTCATAGGGTTCAGATGTGAAATTCAAAATTTTGAAGCGATTATTTCCATCATATTGATATATTTTCTCAAAGATATGTTTAAGATATTGGAAAACGTTGGAGTTGCCTCTTCATTAAAAGCTGCATTTTGAGACGTACATTATGGATTCTGTCAAAACGTGAAATAAATGTGCCAAATGACAACGATAACTAACAACCTGTTAATTAGAGATATATTATTGTATTTAATCTGCAATGTCCGATACATGTACTGTGTTTACTAATGCCACAATGTAATACATATATTTCTAAATATATCAAACGAATTTTCCCTGTATTTATGCATTTGAAGTAACACTGTCTACATTTCCTACCTTGCTATTTTTACGTATTAAGATTAAAACATTTGTTCACAGAGTTTTGTGTATAATTCAACCACTTGTGATAAATATGGATTTATATTTATTTTTTGGACATATGGATTTTCTGATTATGAGATTGAAGCTTTGACTAATGCATGGTGTCCTTAAATAAAATATCTTTTAGAAATCCTGATTTTATTTGTCTACGCACCTCAAATATGCGAATATGATATGAATTTTCATAGTGCACTTTTAATCCCTATTCTGATTTTACCTACCCTACGTGTTGCCAAAATGGTGGCAACTCCTGTTGAACGTCACTCCGGGTTTCCATGTGTTGTTGCAAAAGTTTCAGATCAGTCGGTTTTCGTCTCCATCTTTTTTTCATTTGGGAGTAAGAAATGTATTTTTGTTTGTTTTTGTTTTACTCTTTCCTCAATTTCTGCCCCCCCCCCCCCCTTCGAAATGCCTTTTACTGCCTCCCCTCCCCCCTTTTCGGTAAAACAATGTCTTTAACTGACCACCACCACCACCACCACCACACACAGGAACAGCACTGTGAAATATATGCATTTCGATTTTACGAACACTAAATACATGCTATAAGTCAGGGAGGAGTCTGGGAGAGAAGTCATTACGACGTAAACATGTGACTAAAGTTGTTTCTTAGAAATAATGCGAATAGTCGAACTGATCAAGTGACTAAATTATATTGAAATAATTTAAAAGTTGTAAGACGTCCGAAGCATTTGCTGCTGCTAGCAAAACCGAATTATTTTCGCTTGTACTTGAGGAAATAAAAGCTAACGCAGTGTCGCAATTTCGAAATTGATGTGTATGCATTGTTCCTTGACTAAACTATTTTGTCGTGTTGATTTTGCAGATTCATAGTTTCGAGACATTTTTTACGAACATTACCCTGTTTCAAATGTACAGTGGTTAAAAAAGATACGCTGCTTTAACAAGGTTATGGACCGTTTTCTAAACATTTTCTTCAGGTTGGTAAGTATGGATTGTGAAAAGTTCTTTTTACACAACCAATACAATTTTCTATGTGACGTTTCGATGACCTGTACGATATGTACATTGTCACATTCATCAGACAAATGACCAGTGAAACGTATGCACACAAAGGTGTAAGATGTGAACGAGTTGTCCAAAAAAATCGATGTCGATTCGGCTACGTACGCTGTAAGCGGATGTACCAGGTTATGGACCGTAGACAGAGCATGCGCAGCTTATTATTTGATATATCGTTAATATTTTCACGATGTATTTTTTCGTAAATAGATATGTTCATGGCGTTGCTTCTGGATAAACGTTGTTTTTTTTTTTATCGTGAAATAATTGTTGGTTATTCATGTAAACATATATCCACAAGTTGTTTGACTGGTATGAATGTATCATACATAATGAGAATTTTGATATTTACTGATTCATAAATTGTAATAAAAGAAAATGAACGCTCTTGAATTTTTAGTGAAATATTTACTTGACAACAAATGCCAATTAGTCAACATACAGTATCAGGTTTTTTCAGGATAAAAAAGTCGTATCTTAAACTTGAAGTTTTCCTCATGACATGTACCACACAGAGTGGGTTTCCTACACAATGCGTCTCTCAATGTTGCGCGTGTTCGTCCTCGAAACTCCAGTGGTTACGCTCACTCACGTTCTCTGTACCTCTGTCAAAGTTGACGGGTTATCTTGCATCTTGTGGATGAATGTACGTTTTTATATGAAGGGTGTTTGAGGTTTAACGCTCTCACAACAGCTAAGAGCATATGAGGACGGTGTTCCGCAGAACGTGTCGCAATAATAAGGTCAAGCTTTAGAACATGGTGGATGCTAGGAAAAAGAAGCGAGTATATTTCCGCCAAATTGGCATGAGTATCTTTTGCAGTTTTTTTACGATGATACGCAGATTTTACTGATTGGATTCGGGGCCACAGAAAAGTATCTCTGAATGTTTGACCCGGACCACCGTATAGATATGTCACATAAAGGTATGTAACAGGTATTATTCTCTTTGACAAGGGAAGACTGATAAGAGCATATACCGGGACTGATACTTCTATACGTTGTTACTGTCGGGACGATTTCTTCAAGTTTCGTCCGAAATTCAGCCCTTGGTGTTTCTATAGAATGAAATGAAATACGCCAAGAAATATTACTTTTCACAATGTCTTTACAGTCATTTATACACAACACAAAATGTAATGTGCTTTCCTGTGTCTGTGAAACTGCAGTGAATATAAATCATAATATCGTTTTCTTTACTATATTCACGTGCAATTTGTCCATGGATTAGTGAACGATGTTACTGTGTGGTTACCTAGGTATATATATGTACATATCAAAACCTGTAAATACTGCAAGTGTTTGTTAAACACCTTAAATTTATAGTTTTTTACTTACCTTTGCATGAACGTTTAAATGATGGGTTGGTCTTATCTTATATAATCAGTAGATGATGTTCAGGGGCGGATCCAGGATTTCCTAAAAGGGGGGGGGGGGCCGAGAAATTTTTCTCAATAGTCCACGGTGTGTTGCGAAAGGCAGCAGCCCGAGCGCGTAGCGCGAGGAGGGGGAGGGTACAGACCCCCTCCCCGTAAGGGGGGTTTGGGGGATCTCCCCCCAAAAAAATGTGTTTTCTAGAACGTCTCAGAAGCGATTTCCCGTGTTCTGAGGATTGTTTTTATGTTTAATTAACAAGAAGAAAAAAGCATATTTTAAGTATGGCCCAAAGACTTTTTTTGTGTACTGGAAAGAAAATTAAAGTTTCGGTTCAAATTCTCTATCAACAGCGTGTTTTAGAAGTCAGATGGTATTATTATAGGGGCAACCTGGTGATGACAAATGTATGAATCCACAG